TACTGCCTAAGTATGTGACAGCCGCTTGGGATCCACCATTCAAGTCAATGGTACTGCCTAAGTATGTGACATCCGCCAGGGATCCACCATTCAAGTCAATGGTACTGCCTAAGTATGTGACAGCCGCTAGGGATCCACCATTCAAGTCAATGGTACTGCCTAAGTACGTGACAGCCGCTTGGGATCCACCATTCAAGTCAATGGTACTGCCTAAATATGTGACACCCGCTTGGGATCCACCATTCAAGTCAATGGTACTGCCTAAATATGTGACAGCCGCTTGGGATCCACCATTCAAGTCAATGGTACTGCCTAAGTATGTGACAGCCGCTTGGGATCCACCATTCAAGTCAATGGTACTGCCTAAATATGTGACAGCCGCTTGGGATCCACCATTCAAGTCAATGGTACTGCCTAAGTATGTGACAGCCGCTTGGGATCCACCATTCAAGTCAATGGTACTGCCTAAATATGTGACAGCCGCTTGGGATCCACCATTCAAGTCAATGGTACTGCCTAAATATGTGACAGCCGCTTGGGATCCACCATTCAAGTCAATGGTACTGCCTAAATATGTGACAGCCGCTTGGGATCCACCATTCAAGTCAATGGTACTGCCTAAATATGTGACAGCCGCTTGGGATCCACCATTCAAGTCAATGGTACTGCCTAAATATGTGACAGCCGCTTGGGATCCACCATTCAAGTCAATGGTACTGCCTAAATATGTGACAGCCGCTTGGGATCCACCATTCAAGTCAATGGTACTGCCTAAATATGTGACAGCCGCTTGGGATCCACCATTCAAGTCAATGGTACTGCCTAAATATGTGACAGCCGCTTGGGATCCACCATTCAAGTCAATGGTACTGCCTAAATATGTGACAGCCGCTTGGGATCCACCATTCAAGTCAATGGTACTGCCTAAATATGTGACAGCCGCTTGGGATCCACCATTCAAGTCAATGGTACTGCCTAAATATGTGACAGCCGCTTGGGATCCACCATTCAAGTCAATGGTACTGCCTAAATATGTGACAGCCGCTTGGGATCCACCATTCAAGTCAATGGTACTGCCTAAATATGTGACAGCCGCTTGGGATCCACCATTCAAGTCAATGGTACTGCCTAAGTATGTGACATCCGCTAGGGATCCACCATTCAAGTCAATGGTGCTGCCGAAGTATGTGACATCCGCTAGGGATCCACCATTCAAGTCAATGGTGCTGCCTAAGTATGTGACATCCGCTTGGGATCCACCATTCAAGTCAATGGTGCTGCCTAAGTATGTGACTTCCGCTAGGGATCCACCATTCAAGTCAATGGTACTGCCTAAGTATGTGACATCCGCTAGGGATCCACCATTCAAGTCAATGGTGCTGCCTAAGTATGTGACATCCGCTAGGGATCCACCATTCAAGTCAATGGTGCTGCCGAAGTATGTGACATCCGCTAGGGATCCACCATTCAAGTCAATGGTGCTGCCTAAGTATGTGACATCCGCTAGGGATCCACCATTCAAGTCAATGGTGCTGCCTAAGTATGTGACATCCGCTAGGGATCCACCATTCAAGTCAATGGTACTGCCTAAATATGTGACAGCCGCTTGGGATCCACCATTCAAGTCAATGGTGCTGCCTTAGTATGTGACAGCCGCTTTCACTTATTCCAGTGCATTTCCTGACAGAGAGATAGGCTCTTGGTTGGCTGAGTTTACATTTATGATTTTTGTCTTGCTTTTATTTATATAAATAAAAGGAAGCTTCACAGGCGGCCTCGATTCTTCCCTACACACCTATGAAAATGATCGCTTATTTTGGTGACGCTATATACACTTGCTAGAGGCGAAGCTAATATTAATGTCACCATTACGACCAACTATTTTTGCCACCCTCCTTTTCACAATATAAACTGTGCAGTTGTCCGAAAATGCCGCACCTCCATATAAAAATGTGAGGTCTGGAGGAACAACCTGATCCTCCCTCTTTCTACGCCACTGGAAGGGGCGTAGCTAGAGTGTTTGGCGTCAGGGTGTCGCAGAACGGTTGTTACGGAGGAGGGCTCCGGTCCTGCGGACTTATCACAAACTGTGTTGACTTAGTAGTGGGCAGTACAGGATCGCTCCACTCTGTGATGTATATGGTGGGTGTCTAGGCGTTTGGGACAGACAAAAGCACAACGTAGACTTGATGAATCCAAATAACACAATAACTGTGCAGTTGTCCGAAAATGTCATGAAATCAGAGAGAATGTGTGTTTTGATTTTGGTGACAAATGGGGCTTGGGAGCGAATGTGAACTAATACGGGATTTCGGGGGTGATAAAAAGGAGAGGCAACTTTTGAGCGGGCGGTCTTAGGTTCACGTTCTAGAGTGCGAGAGATACTTTGAGTTGAGAGGTCCGGCTTGGATTGCTCTCATATGAATTAACTGATCTGAGATTTGATTATTGAAAGTGTGTGGATATTTTCTGCGCGTGACGACTGTTCTTGTAGAGCAGTATGATGATGTCTATGAATCATGTGATTAGAATCTTCTATAATAAAGTACTGTGGAGTTCAACGGACGTTGTGTTGATTCTAAGTCGAGCGAAAGGCCAGGCGAAACATGTATCAAAAGACATCATAGACAACGAGAATACAACGAAAGTATTTGACATGAGGTCAAGTATCTGACATGCAACATAATATTTGACACAGGTGTGTAGATCAGTGCCGTCTTAAGGCATGAGCCCAGGGCCCCGCACTTGTAGGGGGCCCCACGTTTCTAGGAGACTAACTCTTATAGAGGCATCATGTTTTACATATTGTTAATGAATATTATATTACGCAAATGATTGTTGATTTATATTAAATAATGTATTCTACCTGTCAATAATGATGATTTATCATCCTCTGTGATTATTTATAGTTTATTTCTGATGTCTTAAAACTATTATTGATTTTGAATGAAATGGTTTTGTATCAAAAAAATATAATTCATCGAATTTTAACTTTATTGAATGTTTATTTTAATTTTACATGTGCATTCCTCTTGGTGAGTTGGTGGGGAGCATGAACAGTCCCCCCCCCCCAATGTTTGAGCATGGGGCGAGGGCCCTCCTTCACCCCCNGGCAAGTATAGAAAGAAGTATAGGAGGGCAAGTATAGAAAGAAGTATAGGAGGGCAAGTATAGAAAGAAGTATAGGAGGGCAAGTATAGAAAGAAGTATAGGAGGGCAAGTATAGAAAGAAGTATAGGAGGGCAAGTATAGAAAGAAGTATAGGAGGGCAAGTATAGAAAGAAGTATAGGAGGGCAAGTATAGAAAGAAGTATAGGAGGGCAAGTATAGAAAGAAGTATAGGAGGGCAAGTATAGAAAGAAGTATAGGAGGGCAAGTATAGAAAGAAGTATAGGAGGGCAAGTATAGAAAGAAGTATAGGAGGGCAAGTATAGAAAGAAGTATAGGAGGGCAAGTATAGAAAGAAGTATAGGAGGGCAAGTATAGAAAGAAGTATAGGAGGGCAAGTATAGAAAGAAGTATAGGAGGGCAAGTATAGAAAGAAGTATAGGAGGGCAAGTATAGAAAGAAGTATAGGAGGGCAAGTATAGAAAGAAGTATAGGAGGGCAAGTATAGAAAGAAGTATAGGAGGGCAAGTATAGAAAGAAGTATAGGAGGGCAAGTATAGAAAGAAGTATAGGAGGGCAAGTATAGAAAGAAGTATAGGAGGGCAAGTATAGAAAGAAGTATAGGAGGGCAAGTATAGAAAGAAGTATAGGAGGGCAAGTATAGAAAGAAGTATAGGAGGGCAAGTATAGAAAGAAGTATAGGAGGGCAAGTATAGAAAGAAGTATAGGAGGGCAAGTATAGAAAGAAGTATAGGAGGGCAAGTATAGAAAGAAGTATAGGAGGGCAAGTATAGAAGGACAAATACGGATTGCCAATGTTTTGTTATCATGGTTTAATCAAACTACTATTTAATTGAACTAATCTGTGGGGTCAAACTGTTCATCTCTGCTCACTGAACTAATCTGTGGGTTCAAACTGTTCATATCTGCTAACTGAACTAATCTGTGGGTTCAAACTGTTCATCTCTGCTCACTGAACTAATCTGTGGGGTCAAACTGTTCATCTCTGCTCACTGAACTAATCTGTGGGGTCAAACTGTTCATCTCTGCTCACTGAACTAATCTGTGGGTTCAAACTGTTCATCTCTGCTCACTGAACTAATCTGTGGGTTCAAACTGTTCATCTCTGCTCACTGAACTAATCTGTGGGTTCAAACTGTTCATATCTGCTAACTGAACTAATCTGTGGGTTCAAACTGTTCATCTCTGCTCACTGAACTAATCTGTGGGTTCAAACTGTTCATATCTGCTAACTGAACTAATCCGTGGGGTCAAATGGTTCATCTCTACTAACTGAACTAATCTGTGGGGTCAAACTGTTCATTTGTGCTAACTGAACTAATCTGTGGGGTCAAACTGTTCATCTCTGCTAACTGAACTAATCTGTGGGGTCAAACTGTTCATCTCTGCTAACTGAACTAATATGTGGGGTCAAACTGTTCATCTCTGCTAACTGAACTAATCCGTGGGGTCAAACTGTTCATTTGTGCTAACTGAACTAATCTGTGGGGTCAAACTGTTCATCTCTGCTAACTGAACTAATCTGTGGGGTCAAATGGTTCATCTCTGCTAACTGAACTAATTTCTGGGGTCAAATGGTTTATCTCTGCAATCTGAACAAATCTGTGGGGTCAAATGGTTTATCTCTGCTATCTTGTTACAGCTTGAAAATGGTCATGTTTATGTTACAGTACGGCTTGAAGGATTTTCTAATATATTGACATGGCTTTTAATTTTTTTAATTTTTAGAATTAATTTCTATTTTTGGGGGTATACCAAGACAATATTTGGGAGATCCCTGGGCTATAGATACGGAAACATTTCATGGCAATACACACAAACTGTTATCATCATGGAACAAAATGATGAAGACAACACTATTGTTAAAGTTAAATCATACTTTAGTCAACTGATTGCAAGCAGTAGTGACAGCATCAAATCTCCACCAAAGGTTTAACAACAGATAAGAAGAAAACAGAATTTGACATGTTCAAATTCAATAAATAATAAATTCATCAAGCAGTTGTTAGTTTAACATTGCACAGATAGTTGTACCGGTAAATGAACAACACAATTTAAGCCAGGGGAAGTAAGCAGTTATTGATCAAAAGCTAATATAATAATCCTAATGTTTTGGCAAAGTCAACAAGATATGTTCACACGAGTTGTTCACTGATAGCCACTACTTAGCCACTGGTCAGGAGAAGTGAGCTTCTTTCCTTGAGATCCACTAACCAGTCTTGTTTTTGATCTTGGCTACACACAACAAGCCCCAGAATTTTTCCCTGACCTTGAGTCAAGTGTGCATTGAACCTTGTTTCAAAGTTTGTATGTCCCCCTTCCAACCCTGACAGTTACTTCATGTCTGTTACTCACATCTTTTCAATGCTAGTGAATCAAAGTAGAACAGATCAACTAGAAATTAGCTAGAAGAAATCTCAGCCGCCTTTCAAGGGATGAAGCTAACTTAGAAACTCTCAAGATAATAAGCATTGGATTGTTCAAGTTTGACATGGCAAGCAAGACCTTACACGCTTACGCACAATGTTAAATTCTCCATGCAAGAAGCATCAGATTTAACTTGAAGTATTTGTCCCCAGATAATTTCTCACTGCTGATCAAAGGAACAAATAAAGAATCCGCTAAAACTCAGGCTATAATAAAAGTTATCTAAGAAACACTAATATCTTCACTAACCTGACATAGCCATATGTGTTATGGGTAACTTCATAAATAAATGTACCACTCTGTTTACACTATAGTTGTGTTGCTTTCCATTTATAAGTTGACCACATAAAACATCAGTAAGCCATTTAACCATGAATGTCAAGAGAAATAAAAATTGACAAAAATTACCATTTAATTACCATTATTTTATAAAAACTTCAAATGATATTTCTTTGAGTTGGCACATCACAGTCGCCTTGACAAACATCTGGAACACATTAGACATCAGGAGTTAGATTTCTTAGAGTTAACTGTACTAACTGTACTGACTATACTGACTGTACTGACTGTGCTGAGTGTACTGACTGTGCTGACTGTACTAAATCTTAGAAACACTTTCAATTAGAAGAACTTGCAGGTTGATTAGTGTTAATTATTAAGTATTCAATTCTTTTAATACCACTTAGCAATGTATAGCCAAGGGTCAAGGTCAAGCTTCAAACCTGGCACACTACAAATTTTTACTATGACCAAAATGAATATAGAAATGAATGTCAATATTTGCCAATAATAATGAAGATCCCAACCAAACTTTCAGGGCTGTACGAGTTTATTTAACAAAGATTTGGTCGAAGAATGCTCTCCAAACGACGTGTTGTGTTGGAGTGTCATTGTCAGACATGGCTCGGTTAAAACAGCTGCATTTACTGGACTGCCGCATCCCTGCAGGAGGCCATCACTGGACAGCTTCAACACATGGGACAACGTTGAGTAAGACAGGCGTCCTGTTCAAATGTGTACCGAATGAGAAGCAGTTTCCTCCGCCTCCCAGTATGACGACATCCCCTGACGCCAACATGATGGACGTGTGTCTGTGGAACATGAGGAGACTTCTTTTGTCCTGGTTCTGAAATACAAGCAACAATGGTTAGGGTTAGTGTACAGATAGCTGGTGCAAAAACATTCATGCAGCCATTCTATGAGGACAATCCTATACTGGGTAAAATAAGGTTTAAAAGAGATCATTCAGTAAGGGTAGGATAAATGGACGATTAGATCATCAAATCAAAATGTTTTAAAAGCCCACCAGCCCCCCTTCCTCCACCCCCACCCCCACCCCAAAAAGTAAAGAAATTATCATTAAGATAAAAATCACAAGTGCCTATAAATAAAATAACTTAGTATAAAAACATATTAATACAAACTTACTGGGAGAGCAAACTCTAAAGCTTTCCTGGTTCTCAAGTTGATGACAGCCACCCCGGGTGGAGGGTGATGAACATTTACACCTCCCACGAGGATCAGCTTGTCCTCATGAATATGAGCTGTGTGAGAGTATCTAGAGATGACATCAAATATTTGTGTGTGAGAGTATCTAGAGATGACATCAAACATTTTTGTGTGAGAGTATCTAGAGATGGCATCAAACATTTGTGTGTGAGAGTATCTAGAGATGACATCAAACATTTGTGTGTGAGAGTATCTAGAGATGACATCAAACATTTGTGTGTGAGAGTATCTAGAGATGACATCAAACATTTGTGTGTGAGAGTATCTAGAGATGGCATCAAACATTTGTGTGTGAGAGTATCTAGAGATGACATCAAACATTTGTGTGTGAGAGTATCTAGAGATGACATCAAATATTTTTGTGTGAGAGTATCTAGAGATGACATCAAACATTTGTGTGTGAGAGTATCTAGAGATGACATCAAACATTTGTGTGTGAGAGTATCTAGAGATGACATCAAATATTTGTGTGTGAGAGTATCTAGAGATGACATCAGCCATTTGTGTGTGAGAGTATCTAGAGATGACATCAAATATTTGTGTGTGAGAGTATCTAGAGATGACATCAACCATTTGTATGTGAGAGTATCTAAGAGATGACATCAAACATTTGTGTGTGAGAGTATCTAGAGATGACATCAAACATTTGTGTGTGAGAGTATCTAGAGATGACATCAAATATTTGTGTGTGAGAGTATCTAGAGATGACATCAAATATTTGTGTGTGAGAGTATCTAGAGATGACATCAAACATTTGTGTGTGAGAGTATCTAGAGATGACATCAAACATTTGTGTGTGAGAGTATCTAGAGATGACATCAAACATTTGTGTGTGAGAGTATCTAGAGATGGCATCAAACATTTGTGTGTGAGAGTATCTAGAGATGACATCAAATATTTGTGTGTGAGAGTATCTAGATACAACATTGGTTAAAACAGATTAAATATCAAACATTCCTTGTTCAACAACAGATTTGTATTGTAACCTCCAGTCAAAATTCAATGGTAAATTCAAAGCACAACTCATAAGAAAATTTTCATATTTTTAGAAACTCAATTTAGTCTCCAGTATTTGATTGTATAGATTCAATATAAATATTTGAACATTTACAATGTACATTTCTTGGTTCAATAAACAACTAAACATATAATTATAGCAACAGAATAAGTAAAACAATGGTTGTAGTTACCTGGAGTAAAGATTCCCAGTAACATCCATCTTCTCCCATTGATTCCTAGACAAGTCCAGCAGGCAGATATCTCCAACAGGCTCATGGTAAGCGTTGACCCCACCGGACAGTACAATGTGGCCATTCCAATAACTGACACAATGGGAGTGACGAGGACCTGGCAGCTCACCCGAACATTTGAGCTGAAGATAAGTCGGGGAAAACTTGACTTTTAACATCATTAAATTTAGGTTTCAGTGATGACCAACTTGCTAGCACTCTTTCTTCATCCGTAACACAACTCCACTCCTAGACAAAACTCCACCCCCAAACACCACAACTTTACACCCCCCAAAAAATACCACAACTCCACCCCACACATCAAAACTCCACCCACACACCACAAATCCACCCCACACACCATTCCACCCTCATACTCAACTCCATCCGCACACACACAACTCAACCCCATACACCACAACTCCACACCCACACACAACTCAACTCCAAATCTAGACACCACGACTCCACTCCTAAACACCACGACTCCACTCCTCCACACCCTAACTCCATTCCAAGACACCACAACTACACTCCTCCACACCCTAACTCCACTCCTAGACACAACAACTCCACTCCTCCACACCTAGACACCAGAACTCCACACCTAGACACCAGAACTCCACTCCTAGACATCACAACTCCACTCCTAGAAACCACAACTCCACTCCTCCTCACCTTAACTCCACTCCTAGACCCCACAACTCCACTCCTCCATACCCCCAACTGCACACCTAGACACCACAACTCCACTCCTAGAATCACACATTTATAACTGGCAATCTTTGTTGGTAACTGTGGTACACTTGACTGACTCAGTGAATGCTTGTTTTGGTAACATTCATGCATCCAGTGACGGTGTCTTATGGCAACAATCATACATCACACACAATGTATGACGGTGTCTAATGGCAACAATCATACATCACACACAATGTATGACGGTGTCTTATGGAAACAATCATACATCACACACAATGTAACTAGTTAACTAATGACAGGATGGGTCAGTAGGAGTCAATAACAATTTTAGGATCGGCAGATTATTATCTGATCAACAGATATATAGCGTCAATATGACAGTGGTCATATTATAAAGTTTTGGTCATATTTGTCAATGGTGATCTTTACGAGAGATCTTTATGACCACAAAGAGCATGCCAATCTGCATCTAGATTGTAAGCTTATGGGGTCAATGACAGTAATAACACCCCCTTCATTTTGTCAGTAATATTTTCAAGTCTTATAGTCTCTGACGTGACGGTAAAGTGGTCAAGGAATTTTTTTTTGGGTCCCTACTGCTATTTCTTTTCTTTAATGCGTGAAGCATTGACTCAGTTGAAGTATGTTGGGTAGCCATTAGGGGATATGGTAGGAGTGAAGGTCGGGAGGTGGTGGGACTGAAGGTTGGGAGGTGGAAGGTAATGGGGTAGGTGGGTGGGGCTCATCCCAGAAATATTAATATGGAAAAACTTAAATCATTTATTTAAGATATGTGGGTCAGCTTTAACTTGTTCCAACAGAAGAATGGTATTGAATGGTCAAATAAGGGAGAGGCTATATTAAAGACACAATTAACTGTACAAAGTTTCAGAAAGTCTTCATCAAGAAAATAAATCTATATTAATTAAAAAGTAAAATTTAACAGCATTCATATTATTCATAAACTTTGGGGGCTGAGCTGGTTGCTCTTCAGTGTCGCTCAGGTCACTCGGTCACTTTGGGGGCCTGAGCTGGTTGCTCTTCCGTGTCGCTCAGGTCACTCGGTCACTGAAAAGGATGGGCGTGTGTTGTTGTCATTGTGTCCTGTGTCTTGGACACTCAGTCAACAGCTGGTTATTGTGTCTTGTCTTTGACAAAACTGTCTGTGTGTGTTGGGGTCTCTCTGAGAGTCCAGTCTACGGAATTAGGGCTGTAGAATGCTCGGTTGTCCATTTTTTAGAAGCATATGAATGCTGATAAAGTCAGCCCGTCGTAGGACTTCTGTATCAGGGACTTTGTCCTGCCACCTTTACGTAGACAGCATAGGTGAAGATGGTTTAGCTGTCCAGCATTTCTGCTATACTTTGAGCTTAGTGACAAGACTGAGAACCCTTCCCTACCAAACACTCTTGCTGAGCCTTCCAAATGAAACATTAGCTTTGGTCATTTGGTTGTTGATCTCATCATCTATTGTAACTGACCTGTAGAGGGTTTGCTCAAATATCTGAATTTTTCCACTGATTTGAGATTCTGTCCCTTCGTTGATATTTTAGGTTCTTTGAAAGCTTTTCTTGGAGCTGGCTGGTGCAAGGTCTCTGTTTTTTTTCCGCCTTGATGGCAAGGCTAATCACTTTATATTTATCATAGCAGACATTCATGAGAAGCACATCTTTCAAACAAAGTTGGTTGGTCTTATCATTATGATATATGCTGGAGACATCATTAAACCATGGCATACATTGAATCCCAATGATCTGCTGGATGTGACGTGACCATCATCACAATCCACACCAAAGACTTATGCATGTAAAACATTACAAAAAGTATACCCGAGCAAGTAGACACATTTTGCTAACCTCCTAGAGAGACAACAAATATAATAAGAGTAAAAGATGATTCAATTTGTGAGAATTAATGCGTTAATATATATCAAGTCCTTACATACATCAGCTATAAAACTATTAATAGATAATCACATTAAGTGTGTCAATGAAATGACCAATGGGTCTGATGCATGACACGATTACAATTCTACTTAGCTATATGAGGATGCATAAACAAGGCGTCTACAGTAGAGCAGCAACTAAGCTAAAGGAATCAACTTGACCAATCAGAAGGTTGCTTTACGAGTGGGTCGAGCTATTTTTAAATACATGGGATTTAGGACGGACATCTGTAGTAAGAGGGAGAAGTAGTCTCGATGTTATTTGGTTAGGGTGAGACCTCAAACTTGCCACTTGAAATATGTTCTTCAAAATAAACCACAGTGTGTAATTATCTAGGTTAAATAAACGTTTAATGGTAGTAATAAGTGGGCAACTCCAATGTATACATCCACATAAAAATTTTTGAAACTATTTGAAATGTATCAACTATGTCTGATTTGAATCAAACAGTTATTACAATGGATGATTTGAATCTCAGCTGCCAGGTAAATTCTACACTGGCAGAGATTGAAATATGTAAAGTCCGACGGAGTGATCAAATGGCGGTGACTCTGCTGCCAGCTATCTTGGTGCTCTGTGTCATCATGGTCGTCGGCACCGTGGGCAACTGCCTGGTGTTCTACGTCTACTATTTCAAGTTCACGCCAAGCTCCGCCAGGTCTGCCATTCTGGCACTGGCCTGCTACGATCTGCTTACGTGTGCCTTGAGTATTCCAGGTGAGATACTGGACATGAGATACTCGTACAACTTTGACAGTGAGGAGATGTGTCGTGGAATCCGTTTGGTCACCACCGTCATACTGGTGGCCTCCGGATTGCTACTGGTCATGGTCGCAGTAGACCGCTACCAAAGGATATGTCATCCACTTGGAGATCACCTGACTGCGTCGGACATCTGGAAACGCACTTTTATTTTGTTTGTCTTGGCTATGATCATCGCCGTTCCAACTCCCATCATTTATGGGCTGGCAGATATACCTATATCTGAAGGTATTCATGGAACAGAATGCTCCACCAATCAAGACTACAAGAACCATCCTCTACGCAAGGCTTACATAATTATTCTGGGACTTGTATTTTTGGTGGCCTTTGCAATTATGATCGTCATCTACATTCTCATAGGACGGCAGGTGCTTAGACAAAAGGCGTTCCGGAATAACGTTCAACAGAGAAGAGGAAGTATAGTTTCTGCAGGAGCCAACTGCAGGCACACACTGTACAGTGGCAGCAATGAGGACAATGAACCACAATCTTTGGATGGAATGAAAGATTCATCCCTACTGCACGACAAAGAACAAGATCTCAAGGACATTAACTCACTGTAAGTAAAAACAATGATGAACTCATCAGTGATAGTTCTTTAGGATTCGTATTATTACATGATAAGAACAGTATGTTCACAATCCTTATGTATGACATGATAAGAACAGTGATACCACACAAGTTCACAGTTAACTAGAAGTCTGCATTGGACAAAGTTACAGCAATCCATTAAAGCTAATTAAGAATGATGTCTCGTTATTCAAAACAGATTTGATGCCACAGCTATCTAGTCTTTATAACATTTCAGTCAATTTAGATACAAGTTCGGATGGGTTGTTTTTTTAAAGATAAAGAATAATATAGTAGAAACAGCGTTGAAGCTGCATGAAGACAAAAATGACCAAAAGGAGGTTACGTCTGATTGCTTGCAAGTGTAAATTGATTCAAATGTTTTATATCATATCATCATGTGGAATTCATCAAATCCTGTCCAGTAACTTCGGTTTCACGTCTATTTAAAAAATTAAACAACCCAGAAAAACTAAGTTTTTCGTAGAAATACTTGATCAAATGTAATATCGAGCAATTGGGGGGGCGCTAAAAATTTGACAAAACATGCATTCGAGTAATCCACTTTATGAGAATCACAATTAGTTCTCCCAGCCTTTTTTCACTCCTCTGAACTATATTAAGATTCAAATGACCAACTCCTTTTACACCGCAGATTTATTTCACCAACTATTTCAGAAAAGGAAAAGAAAATATGCACCAATACTTGCAATATTTGTTTAAAGTATCTCATTTACCGCAATGATGAGGAATTTTATTTCATGAAATCCGTGTCATCAAATTTCCTTCATCTTCCCCTAGAACAAAAGGAAAAACTGATTTTTGGGGGTTGGGGAGGTTGGGCTGAAAATTTGAAAGAGCGTGTAGTCATCGGCAATGAGCCAAGAAAGAAACACACAAACAAAAGCAAAGTTAATGTCAAGGAATCTCAACATTCTTCTTGAAATTAAACATTTCCTGTTAACCTCATCTTAAAACTTTATCAGATGCTTCCGGAGAAATTCTTCTGTGTTGGAATTGAATAACTTCTGGTCTCAGTCTACTCGGCTAAGTTGTCATTTTATTCTCTGGTGTTGTCATTGGGTCTGCTGATGAAGGCTTTCAGCGAAACTCCATTTTGATTGTCTTTAGTTGTTATTTAGGTTTTCACATATCATGTCCTCGCTGTTTAATTACTTGTTTAAAAAACAGTTTTATCAGCTTTATGATTTACAAATAATTAATGATAATAACTGACGTAACTGAGCATTTCTTCCTCATCTAATGCAGGTCAGCCCAAAACAATAGTGTTGCAGCCAAAAAAGTATTGAGGAAACCATCAGTTTTGCGTCATCTCCGCAAGATCTCATCAAATCGAGACAATCGACTCAGGAAAACAACAATGATGTTATTTTTCATAACTTTGGTGTTTGTTATAAGTTTCTTGCCACATATCATTCTCAAAGGTGTCCAAGCTTTAAACAAGAACTTTGTACAGAACCTCAGCACCGTCGGTGTCATATTTTACAACATCTTTGTCCGTTCTTGTTTCTTTAACACAGCTGTCAACTTTTTTGTCTATGGAACATGCAGTCCAAAGTTTAGAAATGAATGCAGAGCACTGATTTCAAAACTAGCTTTCTGGATAAAACGGAGGAGAGCCTCAGTAGAGGTGGATGACATCCAGTAAACATTTGGATAAAGGAGAGGAGAGCCTCAGTAGAATAGATGACATTCAGTAAATGAAGCACTCAGGGCAATCTGACTTTTTCTTTGACTCTGGGTAAACGAATCAAACAGATTCTAGGGGCCACTCTAGGCAATGGTCCATGTTTATAAAGAAAATCTACAAGATGTTTCATGAAAAGAGATGTACTACAATGGGTGATCCAGCCTAACAGAATGAAGTTTAACGTCCCAACCAACTAAAGACTAGAAATATCAATATCAATTTTGTCCCAGTGACATACGACCCACGCATTGTTTCCATTGCCTGTGTTTTTTAATTGCTCAATTGCTAGGGGCTGGACCTCTTCAAATGTAACGGACAAATTTTTACAAAAAAACTAAGTGAAGTTAAGGATGTTCTCATGGTCCCAAAAGTCTACTGACCAAACACTCAACAACACACATGAGAGGGATCTGGACAAGCTGAATTAAGTTCTACATGTGACTGTTAGATGATAGGGCTGTGTGAAAAAGGGGGGGGGGGGGGTATGTTGTTACATTTAATTGCATCCTGTTGGCAAAACACAGGAAACAAGAGAGAAAGTGGCTCAATGAGGTTGGTGGTGTGTGCAGACAATTGATGAACAGACAATTGTCTTTACATGCCCAAAATTAAGCCATGGGAGGGTGCATTCATTCACACTCAACAACACACATGAGAGGGATCTGGACAAGCTGAATTAAGTTCTACATGTGACTGTTAGATGATAGGGCTGTGTGAAAAAGGGGGGGGGGGGTGTATGTTGTTACATTTAATTGCATCCTGTTGGCAAAACACAGGAAACAAGAGAGAAAGTGGCTCAATGAGGTTGGTGGTGTGTGCAGACAATTGATGTACAGACAATTGTCTTTACATGACCAAAATTAAGCCATGGGAGGATGCATTCATTCCTCCACTACACTTGATGTACAGAGAAACACTTGAGGAAGATTAAACTTGATTTTATTAGAAACATTGCAGCCACTCAATGACTCGTGACACATTGCTGTTGTCATGATTTGACAAAAATAACCAAGTGTGGACAGTGTGCTGTCAGAGTTCACCAATTATATCCTATTATTCTAGGAGGCACTGATTCTGTCATGTCAGAGTGTGGTATCAGAGTGTGGTGTCAGAGTGTGGTGTCAGAGTGTGGTGTCAGAGTGTGTTGTCAGAGTGTGGTTTCAGAGTGTGATGTCAGAGTGTGGTGTCAGAGTTCACCAAATGCATCCTAATTCTAGGAGGCACTGATTCTGTCATGTCGGAGTGTGGTGTCAGAGTGTGGTGTCAGAGTTCACCAATTACATCCTATTATTCTAGGAGGCACTGATTCTGTCACGTCAGAGTGTGGTGTCAGAGTGTCGTGTCCGACTTCACCTTGTTACATCCTATTATTCTAGGAGACGAGACACTGACTGTGTCATTGACAACTCCCATAGTGTCCAGTAAACTTTGGGGACAATGAAGCACAAAGTCTGTTTGTACTTGTTTCTAAAACTAAATGTTATGTTTCATTTTAAACTTTTTCTTACCGAGCATTTTTCCTTTCTTACATCTTGATGTCATCCCATGCCCCTGCTCCCACTACCCCTACAATTGTAATCCTCAGTCAACCTAATTCTCACCTGAACATACAATCTCTCTATTAAATAAATAGATTACTATCTGAGCTCTCTTTTATCTAATGATTACGGTCTCAAGTTTATGTCAGCAATGTGCACAGCACTGTTCCCTGGAACAACTCATTTAGAGTCTACCATACCATGAGTGGGCAATGTGCACAGCACTGTTCCCTGGGACAACTCATGTAGAGTCTACCATACCATGAGTGGGCAATGTGCACAGCACTGTTCCCTGGAACAACTCATGTAGAGTATACCATACCATGAGTGGGCAATGTGCACAGCACTGTTCCTTGGGAACACTTATGTAGAGTCTACCATACCATGAGTGGGCAATGTGCACAGCACTGCTCCCTGGGGACAACTCATGTAGAGTCTACCTACCATACCATGAGTGGGCAATGTGCACAGCACTGTTCCTTGGGAACACTTATGTAGAGTCTACCATACCATGAGTGGGCAATGTGCACAGCACTGCTCCCTGGGGACAACTCATGTAGAGTCTACCATACCATGAGTGGGCAATGTGCACAGCACTGTTCCTTGGGAACACTCATGTAGAGTCTACCATACCATGAGTGGGCAATGTGCACAGCACTGCTCCCTGGGGACAACTCATGTAGAGTCTACCATACCATGAGTGGGCAATGTGCACAGCACTGTTCCTTGGGAACACTCATGTAGAGTCTACCATACCATGAGTGGGCAATGTGCACAGCACTGCTCCCTGGGGACAACTCATGTAGAGTCTACCATACCATGAGTGGGCAATGTGCACAGCACTGTTCCTTGGGAACACTCATGTAGAGTCTACCATACCATGAGTGGGCAATGTGCACAGCACTGCTCCCTGGGGACAACTCATGTAGAGTCTACCATACCATGAGTGGGCAATGTGCACAGCACTGTTCCTTGGGAACACTCATGTAGAGTCTACCATACCATGAGTGGGCAATGTGCACAGCACTGTTCCTTGGGAACACTCATGTAGAGTCTACCATACCATGAGTGGGCAATGTGCACAGCACTGTTCCCTGGGACAACTCATGTAGACTCTACCATACCATGAGTGGCCCAAGTGGATTCACTCAAACTTTGAGACTAACCAGAAGTCCAGCTTAGACACTACAAACAATAGGCCTTAACAATTCAAATACGCTACTTCACAAGTATTTGAATAAAAAACATTTGGTTTAAAAACACAATTTAAAAAAAAAAAGACAATATTATCTGAAAGTGATTTTGATTTCTTCATTAAAATTTTTATGAACATTATAAAACTATTGAACATTATAAAACTATTGAACATTATAAAACTATTGAACATTATAAAACTATTGAACATTATAAAACTATTGAACATTATAAAACTATTGAACATTATAAAACTATTGAACATTATAAAACTATTGAACTTTGTAAAACAAATAAGAGAAATGTCCATTTAAAAACATTACTGTATTAGTAATTAGGAATTTTAATAATCCAAAATAACATAAAATTTTTGGGGACTCTTCATCTGTTTAAAATATCTTAATTTACCAAACACACATCGCCAAATTATTTATTTGACAAGTGTTTGTTACCAGAAATTTAAACTATATATTTCATCACTAACATTGAAGTTAAATCAGCTTAAAACAACATGGCTTTTCAATAGCTTTGAATGATATTTAATATTGTTGGACTGTGTTAAAAACTATTTCAATAAGGTATCAGTTATTGGTCAACACAGATGCAATTGCCATTGATCTGATATGCTTAAAGACATATTTCATAAAGATAAAGATTTTTTTTACATATATATTGTACTTTGATGTTGATGGGAATAGACAGGGACATATTATATAGTGCATGGACCTTGTTAGCAGAATAACAGTAAATGAGATAGCTATCTTTTTATGTCAGAAAAAGTGGTTATAACATTTTAAAATGTGTGTACATAAAATGTTTTGCTGTGCCCTGATTCATCCATGTCTACAGAGAAATGTTAGGACTAAAATCTTCAAAATTATTTAAAGCACTGTAATAAGAATCACTGTTTGTTTGTTTTGTATCTGATCATTAAATATTGTGAATGATGGATTTGTTTGTTACAAATTATGGACACGTTCACGTCTTTATATGTGGAGATGATGCAGTCATATTTAGTGTTAAAACTCAAACATATATTATTACTTTGACCCAAACCAAATAGTCTTTAATTTAATTGATATCCCTGAGTCAACATGGCCTGCAATCCAGTAGGGATCATTTTAAATACTAATAAATGTCGGATTCAAACTACTCTTTAAATATTAAAGAGCTGTTATGATAAATGGACTTTTAACCTGCAATATAAGATGTTTAAGGTGAGCAGGTATTTAAACCAGAAGGACAACATTGGGAACCTGGAAGTTAAACGAATGGTTGGGGCCTCATCCAGGGGCAATCTGATCAGAATTTTTGTCAATCAACTTATATTTCAAGCCTTCAATAACGGGCACTATGGTTTCAGGGCCAGAGGAAGAGCACGCCGGTTTTGATTGGCCGTGTTTGACACCCTCAAAGTCCTCACCATGAACCTTCACGTTGCCACAGATTGCCAACTTGACTTCCCTGCCACGCCTCCCAGATAGAAGTGGACAGAAGAATAAGATAAATTATAGCATGTGACATGTAGAACAAATGCTCACCTCTTCCCAAGCCTCAGTGTCAGGATCAAACAAGAGACAGTCCTCCAGCACATCACAAGATTTGGTCTTCCCACCATGGACAAATAGTTTTTCTTTTCCTAAAAATTAGTTTTAACAATTAATTATCTGTGATATCCTCAACTGCAAATGACTCGAGTGCATTAATTCAGGCCTGCACAACTCACATGAGATGAGCACCACATTACATAATGAAACAACAGCTGCGAGAATATATGAAAGCTTGAAAATTTTTTCTATATAATAATAATAAAGAATAATTTTGCTTACTATGAAATCCATTTAATGAGAGACATGACTTCTCATATATTCCATTAATAATGTTATACATCTAAAAAATGGAGAATATTTACTTTTCATTTTCATCAAAGGCTTCAGAAGCCGCAGATTGATCGCTGGCGGTCCGTACGCTATGCAGGCCTGAATTATGCAATCAGGCAATGTATGTCTTAAAAACATGTATGACATTCATTATTGTATATTAATGAATCAAGTTGTCGCATTGGAACCAGATTTGGGTTTTTATAACGTCTTAACCACGAGTGTAAAAGGCATTAAAAAGAAATGTTTTCTAGGACTTGGCATGTTTGTATTAAAGACAAGGAATACATGTTAGAAATAATGGCAAGAATTCATTGGTTTTGTATAGCAACTTCCTGCTGATTGTAGGGTGTCCCATGGTGTCCAAAGGACTCGCAGGAGAGAAGAATTTACTTGCCATTTAGAAAGACACTTATTAATTATAGGGTGTTATTATTAGCCCCGTTTACTTTCATTCATCTTTTCTGGTGAATGAACTTAAGCTGACCCAGTTCGGCTGCGCTATTAGGGTGTGTAGTACTAATTACAGTCTCCCTTTGACCTCGGCAACTGTAAGATAAAATCTATGGCCTGTTTCATGATTCGAATGTTGTAGGCTATTGTAGAAGCAGCAAGGCGCAGTGCCACAATAACAATGCGTAAGTCTGGCGTCTAGAAGGCTCTAAGAAACGGGCTATATAAGCCGAAAGATTGAGTGACAGGAGCAGACGACAAATGAGAGTTATTTTGAGGGTGTGCTATTTTCGCTAGGAAGCTTTGTTTACTATGTGTGAGGAAGATTTCTTTTCATCATTGTACCCCTTTTTGCACATTATGTTTTCTTCAACACTGTACCCGTACAAGCCAAACATTATTCCGTAAGTCAATAGTTTTAATATTATTTCTTTTTGATTTTGTAAATTATAATTAGCTTAATAAAACATATTAATTGTAATTAGACCTAGTTTGAGTATCGTATTCTTTGTTATTGTATTTATCATATGTATCGTCTTTTGTTGTGTACTGTTTTAAAACGAGCCATTTAATTAAATAAGAGATTAATTTCTCCATACTGATAACAGTATGTAACAATGTCATATGGAACCAAAGGACTCCAGTAGATAAGAATTTACTTACCATTTAGAAAGACACTGGATAATTACAGGGTGTGATATGGAACCAAAGGACTCCAGGATTTAAGGATTGACTTACCATCTACAAAGACAGCTGCAGCAGCATGACGCCACCTTTCTATCGGCACAGAGCCTTTCTGGGATACAATGTTGACTTCAATACTGCCAAGCTCAAATGTCCAAGTTAGTGTAGACAATCGTTCATTCTCTATAATGGAATGTTCGTAATCCAATTTATCACTGGTGTCACAGTTAATTCTTGAGTGTTCATAAGCATCCCATTGACAATCCCCACGGGGCGTGGCTGTGTATTGAACCTTTGCTTGATACTGTTCACTGTTCAAATAACTTTGTGTTTGATTGTCTTCTGAGTGCTCACTGTCACTTCTGTGACATTTCTTAGTTCTCCGACCGCCCGTCTTGCCATTTCTTCTTTGTACACCATCCTGCTGGGCAAACATCACAGATTCTTTGGAAGCTACGGCCGCCGGGTCTATCACAACATCTTGTGCATCAACATGTTCTTTAGATGTCGAGTGTTGAAGCTTTTCTAAATTTATGTTTAACGTAAGTTTCAGCATTTGATTGCACATAAAGTACGGTGACTGTCTTCCCCCAACAAGATATGTTGTTCCATTACTGAGAGAAATGGAGGCGTGGTGCATACGTGAGTCTGAAATAAATCTTCATTTAATTAATGATTGGGGTAAGAGTTTACTAAATTATAACTGTAGACTATATTTAGCTATTGGGTAAGAATATGGCTAACAGACACACAAAGTAAAAGTGTAAAGTGACAGATATAAGTATGAAGTAACAGACACACAGAGTCAAAGTACTGTGGTAACAGACACACAGAGTCAAAGCATAAAGTGACAGACGTAAGTATAAAGTAACAGACACACAGACTAAAAGTATAAAGTGACAGACATAAGTATGAAGTAACAGACACACAGAGTCAAAGTATTGTGGTAACAGACACACAAAGTAAAAGTATAAAGTGACAGACACACAAAGATAAATTTCAATGAGATATAAAAAGCGTTATTCTAGTTATCAGATTGCTATAAATACATTTTTAAAACAGATTCATTTTGTACTTTTCTTAGATCTAGAGCAGTGGTTCTCAAATTTATTTTGGCAATCTCCCGCTTTGGAGGCATAAAGTAAGTTCATTGTCCCATGTTAAGAATATAAATCCCATGCAAATACCAATTTCATTTTTCTCAAAAATATCTTATCTCTTCAGTGTGCGGCCATAACTCTTTTTAACAATCAAAATAGTATTCCATTATTTTTTTTTACAGTTGAATTAATTTGATTGATAACAAAGTTTTTGTGATAAAATTTATTACCAGCACCCGATCAAACTAATACACATCTAGCCCTGACCCCTGGGGCCATCACACTGCCCTCCTTAGGAACCATTTGTCAGGGGGTCATCATACTACCCTCTTTTGGAATCAATTATCGAGCGTATGTACCTTTGAGGCCTTAAATCTCAGGTACACAAGTACTCTTTTACTAATTAAGTAAGAATAAGGTACACAAGTACTCTTTTACTAATTAAGTAAGAATAAAGAAGGTTCTTGGTTTATTAATTTATAATCAATTTATCCAATTATCAAATTCTATTAAAAAAAATAGCTTAAATATGTTTTGTTTTATACAATACTTGTTCAAGTTAAACATTTAGTTTCTATTGCATGTGCGGTTGATTGTTGATGGAACCCTAGTTCATCAAATTTTTCAGTCCTTTTTAAAATAAATACTTTTGACGTCACAATATTAACTGCCCCAGCTTGGATAAGTTTGAGAATCATTAAGTCCGGACTCCTGGTTAGCTCAGATTATAAACATCCACAGCTCTTTAATTTGGCTAAACTGCTTGACCAAACACTTACACTGTACATGAGTTGAGTAGCAGGGAACGTGATAGGACTTAAACGTCCCCAGGTCGGTGATAGTGATCTCAGCCAGGCGCTGATGGCGGCCATCAATTTCCCCAAAGCCACCGGTAGTTACGGTGCACCGCTCATTAATAATACTGGAAGCGTGACCAAACCGTCTGACGGACTGGTCATCTTCTGGCATACGTCTGAATGCCAACACATTGGTAATGGCTGGCTGGAAAGTTGAATCTGAAAATGAAACATTAATTTTATTTCTTTCCAAACAAAATAAATCTCCACCATTTCCCATTAAGCTGACTGTTGCTGTTTGAACTTGAAGAAAACCTTTATTTAGTATGAATGGATTTAGGGGGGGGGGGGGGGGGACGACATAGTATATCCATGATAAAGTAAAAACTGACACAACATATAGATGTGAAACCTTCGTTATCAGACTGAGACTCTCTATCTCTAATAAGACTTCTTTTAAGGTCAACCGTTGAAGCCGTCAAGATAAAGTAGTGGGAATATTTCAGGTTCAGCTCTTCATACTCATCAAAGGTTTCTAGCTTTTCAATACGTCTTTTTTCTTGAGTTTCAACAAACTTGTAATAGAATGTGTTCATATCGAAAGCTTCACACCATGACCAGCCCTGGAAGCGCAATCAAAGAAATCCAAAGAATTACACAGGCAGAGAAAGCTTTTCAAGTTGAGCTACTCAATCTGGCATTTCAAACAGGGTTACAAATTCATAGCTATTTATAGGCATGAACAAAGCCAGCCGGTAGGCTTACTTGAAATGTTGTATTTATAAAATCCTCTAGTTTAAATTATATTTAGTTATATCTTAAACATGAAATGCAACAGGCAAAAGTAGATGTGAGGTAGGCGGATATTAAAAAAGATATGGATCAGTGTAGGATATTAAAATAGATATGGATTGTAGGTGGATATTAAAGTAGAGATATGCATCAGTGGTGGATACTTAAACAGACTGGGTGTTTGATAGGTATTTAAATTCCTAATCAACCTGCACAGTCTTTATGTATCTTACTTACAGTATTGAGAAAGCGTCTGATCTGTGACTCTAGAGTTGGGAATGCATTGATACATTTCAAAGGTGAGCCGATGGAATGGAAATGATTTTGCCTGAAATAAATCAGTAAAAGAACGAATGTGGGGAAACTTCATTATTTAGTTTTAAATTAAGTGTTGCGTTTTTTTTTTAATAATAAAAATGTAAATAATTTCAACTGATATCATTTTTGTACACAGACAATAATTGGAAATATATATACAAATGTTAAAATATTTCCTTATTTATTTCTAACATCGCACAGTTTTTCTAGTGGACAGATGTTCTGTTTGGGTCAGGTAGTTGCTTACATGAAAAGACCAAATGCATCATCTGGGTTCATCTGGAATGTTTAAAGATATAAAATTGGATGTAGAATAATACTTATAAATGTAAGTTCCGTTATTTCCCTAATACTCTGTCACCCCTCAAGCCATATCCTTGTGATAATTGCTAGAAGTACATTTTAATTCTGAAGCCCTGTAATAACGTGTCATTATTTTTTTTTAACATTGAAATTATTTGTATTTATTTATAACTAAAGTAATTCTAAAGCCTATCAAAAAGACAAAGAGCCAAATTTTGTTTGTCAAGTACCTGTTCATACATTCCAAATATAGCCTCTTCAAATGTTTCTGAAGCCCACTTCACCAGCTCTGTGGAGCTGAATCAGAAACATAGAAAGTTAATAACTTATTCAATGGATCTGCAAATGTTTTTGAACATTAAGTAGGTAACTCTTCTGCTTAGTTAGTGATAAAACCACATGCCCACAAGATATGACTGTTATGTTTTGGTGGGTAACTAACCACATCTAAGTACTTTATCGTGAATGCATCTTTACTATGATCCAGATATATGAGATATTTACCATCTGCGCGTCATGTATGTCATGACGCACTCTGAGAGCAGAAGTGTAGGAACATCAAAGTTAATGCCGCACATCTTTAGGGCTGCCTCCAGTGTGTTCAGTTGAGTGAGGTCAACACCAAGGAGGTGGTAGTCAGTGCAGCTTAGCTCTGGGACCAAAAACATTATTGATTTTAACAGTATCCTTTCAATCAATCAAATTAAGTCAAACAATTAAAGACATTTAAAAAAAAGAGCTAGTCAAACTATAACACTGAAAAATCCTCAATAAATTATTGTGTTTTTTTTAATTAGAAAAGTTGAGTCCTCTTAAAGGTTAGGAACCAATTAGAATCGATGAATGGAAAAAGTAAAGGGATAATTTACAAATAATTTTGTTCTAATTAGTTATTATGCTGCTGTGAACATTACTGGATTATTCATAACATACCAATGTGAGGTGAAAGTGGTGGTTTTTCAACTTTTTCAATCAAACTCATCAAGTCATCTGTATTTTCTATAAGAAGCCTTTTTCTCTTGACAAGCTCTGGGAAATCAATCTAAAGTAACACAGAAAAGAGTTTACTGTCTATTGGATTAAATTGATCGTATTATAAGTAAAATCCCAAAGATACTTTTGTTTTTTGCTTGCACCCACATTCTTTAAATATTTTTTTAATTTTAATTTTTTTAAATTTGGACCACAAAAATATATGATCAAATAAGCTCACCTCACAGAAAACTGCTTTGTTCAAGAGCTGAGCAGACTTTAGTCGGAAATAAGATGAATCAAATCCACAGCCAAGGGAAATGATCTGGAGAAAAATATTTTTTTCTTCTCTTTAATACAAATGGTTTTTAAACCTGAACTGAATGAGATATCTTATGTATCCCAATGTATCATGAACTCTTACATAAAAAAGAATTAATGAGATAAACATATAATAGTACACATAATGAGGTCTCTACTTTAAATTTTTGCTCCCTATTCATAAATTACCACAGTGTTTCCTAAATTCTGGGTTGCAAAAGCAAAATTACAGAGACGCCGAAAGAAGAAAAAAAAAACAGTTGAAAATCTAGGTTAGATTTTCGTGACATACTGATTGATAAATTTTTGTTTAGTTTGATTTTCTTTACAGTCTTGTATGAGTAAATGCTTTATTATAATATATGGAAACTGTGTGGACATTCATATCTGTTATATCTTTCCTATATGGCAGTCCAGGCCATACAAATTTTAATTGGTCAAGAAGAAGAAGTATTCAAATAACCGGGTCACGAAAACAAAAGTTTGGGAAACGCTGGATTAACACATTGAAGTTATGTCATCTTGCTCTTTATTTGTCCTCTATACAACCTTTCACCACAGTTCGGTATCACACAACTTTTAGCAGCTGCTAGTCAGTCTGCCCTCATCTCATACCCTCCCCCTGTAGTTCTGGATTCCCTTACCCAAATCTAAACTAATCTAACTGAGCTAATCACTTGGTTTCCCCTCTGGCCTACAACCGAATCATTTTAACTCATATGCTGCTCCGGCACTCTCTACAGTTAAAAAAAAAATACTTTTTTTAATTATCCGTCCACTCATATCTTCAAACACAACAAATTCTTTGACTGTCACTAGACGCCTCATAAGGAAAGTGGAATTTAGCTGACGTAATACAATAATTATAAATGTTAAAAGTGTTTGCGTCGTTCTTTCATTTTGTCTACAGTCATTCGTTTTAGAGAAAATATAAAATAACTGTAAATACATTCATTAAAAAGGTTCATTAAATACATGGCTACCTGTTTCTTGGCATCTCCATAGAGCTCCAAAAAGTTTTTTATTATTCTATCAAACGCCACAGCTCGAATATAATAACCTCTATAAAAGAAAGATATGTGTTATTTATTGTCATCAATATTTAAAGATTTTACAATGTCGGGTATCAAGAGAGAGGGGGTGGGGAGCAAGAAAGACAGAGAGAGTGTGAGAGAGTTAGAGAGAGACAGGGAGATTGAGAGAGAGTGACAGTGACAGAGAGAGAGACTATTGGCTAAATCAACTAGGAAAAACTGTAAATACTGTTGACTTTTGAGGAGAATGCTTTTAAATTTTGTGTGGTACATTTACCTGTGGATAAGTGGGGCTCTCCTACTCACTTTGGACACAAAATAATGAAGAAACGGATCATTGAAGTAGCCACAAGAAGATGTAGAGCACTTACTGACTATGCTACTATCATTAGTGCCTTGAACCTGAACAAAAATGTATTGAAATTATTGTTTTGCACTATTAAATAAACTTACCATTCTTTTCTATGCAAATACCTATTATGCACAGCATTAAATTTATAAAATTGTACAATTTAAATAATACAGAGTCATGCTCCTTCTACAGCCAATTTTATTTACTGTAAGTGTAATCTTTTTTGTAATTTAACCTCAGGCCAAAAACCCTGCAACTCCAAATTTTAAGTCGGATATTTAGCAACAAATTTGACAATCATATGTTAAGAAGTTAAATGAGTTAATTTTGAATATTTTTTCCACTTCAACTTCAAAGCTTTTTTTTCTTCCATATCAATTGTATTATTATGCATCAATTATATCCTTATTGCACATATTTTGTTAAGTAACCGGTCAATAGGGTCATTTAAAAAAGCCTTAACAAAATGATAAGCAATCTTATCGGCAGCAGCAATTTTGTATAAAACATTATCATGGCATCTGATTTCTTAGTCTTTGATTGATCAAGAGCAGACAAATGTGATAGCATCAAAACTGTGGAGTGAATACGACAAAAGTGAATACTTTTTACATATTTTTCTGAAAAGATTTTGATCACATAAGCTATTTAGCAAGGTTCTGATGGTTTACTTTTCTTATTAATGCCAAGCCCAATAGTTAGTGTAAGTTACATTTAATGATGGGATAAGTTATTGCCTTTAGACACTTAAGTTTTGGTGTTTAAGCATTTAGAATAAGTTACGGCTTCTGGGTTTAGTAAATGGAAAAACGCCCTAAAAAAAATGTGATGTGTGTATATATATTAATTTACAGTTTGCTTTAACCCTCACCCTCTTTCCCTCAACAAATTTGAGCTAATTTTGGTTCAGTGCGCCACTTTGAGTTTCAGTGTAGGATTTTCTCCCTTTTGTTCATTCTTGGATTGTTACTAAGACTTAACCTTTCTTTTTTTAAGTTTTTAATTATAATTTCATTGGGTGGCTAATTAAAATATTTAAATTTTAGGACATTTTGGAAAATGGGAATTGTATTGATTGATTTTCCAAAATCTTTTGGATTTTAAGTTTGGTGGAACTTGCAATAAAGTGTGTAAAAGTGTATTAGATGAAAGTTTAAGTTTGCTTTTCATAATTTTGAAAATATTTTGTATTGTTTTTCTTCATTTTTACACTTTCCTTACCACAGTGTGTAACTACAGCACACGTTTTAATTGAGGGAAGGGAGCGACAGCAGGTCATTGAGACTTCTTGCTTTATATTTAGAAGGATACAATAAAGTTTCTAGGTTTGCCACAAAATTAATGAATGTACAGGCTGAAGTTACTCTAGGAAAGGGAGCGACTGCAGGTCTTTGACTTTGGGACTTGAGCTATCTTGAAGGATACTGGTAACTTTAATAAAGTAGTTTCGTTTGCAACAAAATTAATGTACCAGCTGAAATTATTTTTTTAAATAGCTACACCAGCACATTCTCTCTTTTTCCCCTCCCCATTTTAACAGAAGTGATTTTTATACTAATATTTTGTACACAGCCACCATGACCTCTGGTGAGATCATGGCAACCAAGATGGCGGAGGTGGGAAATTAGTGGTGCGACAAACCAACATTTAAATTTACCAACAAACAAGAACCCTTGCGCCTTGCTGTGTCACACATTATGATAAAAATAAAATTATCACAAAATGATCAATAAATTGATCGAGGGCCCTTAATATAAATATAAAGAAGAAGAATTTACGACTTCCCATAGAAATGTGACATTATTATTGGATGGTCTCTCTAATTAATGCCATTGCGATTATTGTGAAAGTATAGGCATGTATGATATAATTAAAAATAATAAAAAATAAATGAAAGTTTAAGTTTAGTCATTTAATATTTAAATTTAGTACCGCAGTTTCTCTTCTTGATTTGTTTGTTTTCTTTGCAAGGCTAGAGATATCTTCCATTGTTTGGTTCCTGATTGAAAATAACGCAAGTTTAAATAATGAATTCTTGAGGCGCAGATTACAACATGCCTAGAGTTAGAGCTATATCATATACCCTACTCAATTTCTAAATAAAAATCTGTTCAATAATTGAGCAACGGTGGCAGACATGTTTCTTTGTAACAATAAAAACAAGTATCATTTATTGTATGTCCGCTCGGCTCATCAGTGTAACAATAATTCAAGTTGTCATAATTTGAAGCTCACATGTTTAATTTATCCTCATATATCAAATCAGTTTTTTTATCATAGTAATATTTAAATGTAAAAGTGATTGATTTCTAACAAATTAATTTAAACGAAAATCTTAATTTTTCCACTAATTTGTTTGAAGAATCGGTATTCTTTTTTAACTTCCGTTTTGTTGCTACACACAACAATAATGGCGGAAATAATTGTGTTTGACGATAGTAGAGGTGAAAATGACGACAACTATGCATATCATAAGGCAGAGCAAGATCTACAAAAGCATATCATGTCAATTTATGGGACCTCTGGAAAAAATTCTGATATGTTCCGGTGTGTGTATATTACACTTAATTTACTTTTAAAAGCTGAAAACATTTTTTAACATAATGAATGAATGATAATCATTGTTTGTTAAGAATTAAGTCTTAAGTTAAATTTAATTTTAAAAGTTAAGTGTAGACGCTTCGGTAAAGCAAGTGAGACTACATCAAAATTTGTATGGGAAATGGGCATCAGTACAGAAGAAATCTGAGTTTTTAACTTTTGTATGTTGGTGCTTTTCCATTAATAAAATGTCTATTTTGTCATAAAATTGTGGTATCCTTCCACATGTTCACAATAGGGCCACAAAAGGGGACATCTTGACCTACAAACTATATGCCAACATATTGTTTTGCCTTTTTTGATCGACCTGAGTTTTAGAAATTCATAGCTTTTTAATATCATGTCTTTCATATTAATTTCTATAAAGTTAATAAAGCATCATATATTGATGTATATGTATGCCCATTCTCATTGATGTAGGTCGTGTCCGACATTCGCTACGCTTGTCCCAATAACCTGCATTACCATAAGGTCGCTCAGCTAATTTTGTCTTGGAGTGGGCCACACCCCCTTATTAATGTCTGAAGATGCAGATACTTAGGAAATATTCTATTATTATATTCTATTGGGGGGGGCGCGGTGGTCAAAGTGATAGTGCGCTGCGCTGCGGTACCAAGACTTAAAAATAAATTTCAATCAGTCACGGGTTCGAATCCTGGTGCTGGCACCCCTTCGGGTAGATGATGCTCGTTAAAACCTTGGCTAGGAGAAGGAAACTCCAACTTCAAAAATCCTCTGCTGCCTTGTGCCTATACCCTTCGGGAAAGGCTAAGGGAGCAAACCCTGACAGAAAATCAGGAAATGGAGCACCTACAGGCGGTCTATACATAAGACTCTTATGTACATACCGGCAGCTCCTGCGACGCCAACGGCAGCCAAGCCGCATCGACGCAAGTCGTTCCCTTGGTTACACCATTGACGTGGAGAGGGTGGATATGCTGTATGGGCAGCAGCTAATTCTCCATAATACCCGCCCAGGCTTGCATCACCTCTGGAGAGGACACTCATTATAAGCCAAACGCTCAATTGACGTAGAGCTAGGCGCCAGGGGTTGCTTCCGACGGTGGGAGAGACTACCAATGTCTCACTGGACAGCTACCGCCCGCCTCAAACTGGGCAGCCCCCAGTCAAATAGGTGCTATCCCGTCATGGCCTGCCTTCTCCACTGGGTGCGTGGAGATTAGAGTGCAACCAAACCAAACGGTGATGCACCATCGTCTCACGAGACGGAAGGATGCCGATATAGATTCTATTATTACCAATATTTACATCAAAATATTTGATACCTTGTGTTTTAGAGTGAACTTAGAAGTAATTTAAACAAGAATATTTTTATGCAACTATACAAGCATACCCAACCCTCTCTTGTCAAGTCTGGTATCCACACCTTGCAAAAGTGCATTGGTGATGTCAAGTCATGGATGACTCTCAGCAAGTTAAAGCTAAACGATGACAAAACAGAAGCGCTCTTCATGCACAATCATGAATCATCCTCTAACTCAGCTCTCCCCATCTCATTTCAAGAAGGTGGTTCCGATATAGAGTTCACATCCTCTGCTAGGAATCTTGGTTACATTCTTTCTGACAACATGTCTCTCAATAATCATATTTCTCACATCTGTTGCTCTGTGTACACCGCTATCAGTCAGATCAGCTCCATCCATCACTACCTCACAGTGAGCGCAACAAAAACACTAGTCTGTGCTCTTGTTCTCTCTGGTCTTAACTATTGTTACTCTCTTCTGTCAGGTTCACCTAAGCACTTCATATAAAAACTTCAGAAAGTTTAAAACTCAGCTGCTAGGTTAGTTCTAAAGGCAAAGAAACGTGGTCACGTCATTCCACTACTTCACTCACTTCATTGGCTCCCCATACAGGCACGCATTGATTACAAGCTGTCTATTCTATGTCACCACTTTTTCTCTGGTTCCTGCCCTTCCTATCTTACTGAACTTCTTACTGTCTATTCACAGACACGCACTAAAACATATGGTGACCGATCTTTCTCTTTCTGCGCTCGCAAACAATGGAATGCTCTTTCTCTACACATCCACAATCAACCGACCATGCAGGCCTTCAAAACTGCACTCAAAACACATCTCTTTAAACTCTACTATCTAGACTGATTCCCCCAATAGCCGATAAACGATGCTGCTGGTTGCTGTCCATGGCTTGACATGTAAAAGTTCTGGGGTGGGTGGGGTTAATATACATTTGTTTTGTTGTTATAGCTGTATTTTTTAATTAAATAAATGTCTGTTATTTTTTACCGTCATGATTATGTTTTCTAATATTTTTATGTACAGCGCAGTGAGCCCAGCCCTAGGCTGGGGGACCGCGCTATATAAGACCACTAACAATAATAATAATAATCATATTTTAATTAGAGGTTTAAAAACCCAGTAGAGTCAATATAATAAATTATCATAATTTACCGTTTGCAATATGTTGTATATGGTAACCATTCACAGCCAACGTATAAAACTTAAAAACTCAGATTCTTCTGTGCTGACTCCAATTTCCTATACAAATTTCCTGTGCCTACTCCTGGCTTTCTGTCATTCTGTGCATCCTAACTACAACATATTTGAAAGTTACCTCAGAAGGATAGATAACAAATTTATAATTAAGAACACTTAAATATGATAACTAGTTACTGGCCTCTTATTTATTACACAAAAATACATTACTACCCTAAGAATTTCAGTCACTTAGCCTAATATTAGCCATATATTATATATGTTAAAAAAAAATCCCAGCTCAAATAAATTATAGAACAATTTTTCAGTGATTCCTCATTAAGACCAATTTGTTATGATAAATATGCAATCTAATCTCTAAATTGATGTAACAAAATTATGCAAAACTGAGATTAGCATTGTTATATCAACAAATTCATTTTTTTTTCAAAATGTTATCCTATGTTTATTGAGGAAAGTCTGTACTTAAAAAAATACCCACAAAACACATCTGCTGGTTGGTGTTATTGTTTTTTTTTCAAACGAAGTTGTTTTGTCACACTTTGTCACATTTTAATCATTTGTGTAAGTATTTTTCATTATATACATATACATTACCATACTTGGAAAAATTTGAAATTGTCACTTTTCTGTACAACTTAACAGACATGAGTATCTTGGCTGGCAAAAACTGGCTGTTCATACTTTAGGGTAAGAAACTGGTGGAAATGATCTAGGTCATGAGCGTCATATTTAGTACTCATTGACTGGTTTTAATAGTTTCCTATTTCTGCCAGGCCGTCGTTGTCAGACAAGGCCAAGATTGGATTTTTTAGTCTTGATAGAGCGTCACAGACTGATGTCACTGAAATTATTGACTTGAAAGATTTGACACAAGTTTTGCAAACTTTGCTAAAGGTTAGCAAGTAGAATTCATATTAGAAATTTTCATAGAAGTAAATTTTCTTTGCATCAACTACAGTATTCATGACCTACCTTTTTACTCATTTAGCATCATGACACCTTCATTTTTAACAAAATGCAAAGAAAGATTTGTAAAGTGCTCAATATTAATGCTAAATTTAACTTAGAGATCAAGGCAATAAAAGGTGAGGCTTTTTTTGAAAAGCATGTGTGATCAACCTTTTAAAACAAAAGTTCTCGATCAACCTTTTAGTCTGTGTAATTTAGTGTAGTTTGAATTTACAAATTTCAATCATAATAAAATGAGGAAATCAAGTGCTGTTTACTTTCTTAAAACTAATTGTTATATACTAAGAACTATTGCTTATAAATTTATAGCGTAAGCAAATTTTCCCTCTCTTGTTCACAAAATATTAAAAACTACAGTGACTTTAGCAACAGAGCAGAATTAAGCATTTGATAAGATTGTGCTTACAAACATTACAGATCAGTTATAATTATTTTATTTAATCAAGTTTGTTTCATGAGAAATCAATTTTAAAAATGAATCTTATTCAAAATTTGATGGTGTTGCAGGATTCAGCTAATCTTCGAAGAGATATCAATTTGACCAAACATGTAATGCAAGCTGATCATGAGGCAAAACTCCAAGAAAAATCTTTAGAGCTGTAAGTAAAATTCAAATCCAGGGGAATAAATAATATTATTCATTTAAGGATAACTCTCTATCGGTCATTGTTTATTTTTGATTTATTTATTTGGTCTCTCATATGGTCTTTTAATTATTGCCATAATATTGAGTTTTTATTTTCCCTTTTCAGTTATTGCAGAATCAATGAACGAGTTGTAGAACTTGAAAAAAATCATCAAGATGTATGTATAAAGTACATTTATTTTTTAAAGATTTATTAACACACATCAGCCTAAATATAAAAGCTTCAAAAGATGTATTATCCATAACCGTTTTACCTCTTTTGCATTTTAGAGAGTGAACTCTCTTCGCAAAGCTTTTCGACAACAACTTGCTGATGCAATATCAAGACTTTCTGTTCATTATAGTGTAAGCCAGTTTTGAAAGATTTTGTATTATTTTGATGTGTTCCAATTTTGTTATAATCATTAATATGTTAATAATTCAAACCAAATACAATAGTAAACTATTTTGCAAAAACTCTATAATTATTTAAAGCATAATATTAAATTTGTATTATTTTGAAAGTTGACAATTTTTTATTCACATCTAATGAAAAATGATTTAACTCATTCACATATACTAAAGGTTTAACTGGTTCATATAAACTAGAAGAACAAGGTATGTGGACGCTTGAAATTGAAGAACAGGACAATAAAAGAAGAACGGTTTGGCTAAGATTAATCTTGTAATCTTGGTTTTGAATAACCCAACTTCCTGCAATAACATTATTGGCTAACACTTACGTTTTTAACTACTTTCTAGTTCTTGTCATTTCTTCAGTTGTCCTGTCTGCTGAGGAAGATTCTTAGCTGAATGTTCTTCTTTTATTGTCCTTTCTCCCTGTTTCAAGACCCCAACGTACGTTGTTCTACTATTTCCTTCACACAGCTTGAACGCAGTCCTTCCATTTATTACCCTATAAACTAAATGGTTTCAGAAAAATCTACAGTCAAGAATGGTAAGGGAGCGTTCAAAGCAGAAAAATGACACCGCTGATAGAGAAGAAAAATTTAAGGAGATGCAAGCAACAATTATTCGGAATGAAGGAATAATACAAATGTTGAAGACGCAGTTACAGCAGCAACAAATGCAGAGTCAAGATGATGAAGATGAGAGATTTATGAACAGGACGTTAGCTGCCACTGTAGGTGACACACTTAGGTTTGAACAGGACGTTAGCTGCCACTGTAGGTGACACACTTAGGTTTGAACAGGACGTTAGATGCCACTGTAGGTGACACACTTAGGTTTGAACAGGACGTTAGATGCCACTGTAGGTGACACACTTAGGTTTGAACAGGACGTTAGATGCCACTGTAGGTGACACAATTAGGTTTTAAATGGATTTAAATTAATGATTTTTTAAAGATTTATCTATGAATTTTAATGTCAGTGTTACTTTAAAAGGAACAAAAAAACATTACTATAACAGATTGAAATGTACTAATAACTTTTTCAAAAATTTGTATATATTTTGTAATGGATTTTTTAGCTGCTTGCCTTTTAAACAAATGACTAAACATTTTATAGACATACATATTAATTACATATAAAATAATCATGATAATATTTTCTATATCAGTGGTTTTTTAAAACCTTTCATCCCGTAGCACACCCAATGGTTTTACTACTCTTCAAACCCTTACACAATTTTTATATTATGACTGTGTCACTATCAATGAATAATGGGGATTATATCAGAAATACCAACTTACCTCAAATGAATATTTACATTTTGTAGGTAAAATTACTTTAAAATATTATCTTTCAATTTATTTCCCTTATGTCAATATATAGCAATACACAAGTAAACCTCTGCAACACTATGGTAAAAATATGCTGGACTATGTAATATCTTGTTGAATGTTGTCTTGTGTACTGCATTTATTTTAAGTATTTTCTTTTAAACTCCTCACACAGATCACACAAGCAAAGATCTCACCAGAAAACATTTGTAAAGATCATTTACAATATCATCTAGTGTAGTGTGTTTTATGTTCTTAAATTTGTTTTAGATGAACTTTATCACAAACACATGACATATCCCTACGGAAAACTCATCTGTGGTAGATGAGACAAATAGACCTAAATTTCTTAAAGGCTGTTTGTCAACTTTGGTCAAACTTAGTACACTTGTTACTGCCTCACGTATCACAGCATATAGCCCCTTGCTCAAATGACAGTGTCTCACACATCACAGCATTTAGCTTCTTGCTCAAATGACAGTGTCTCACATATCACAGCATTTAGCTTCTTGCTCAAATGACAGTGTCTCACACATCATAGCATTTAGCCCCTTGCTCAAATGACAGTGTCTCACACATCACAGCATTTAGCTTCTTGCTCAAATGACAGTGTCTCACACATCACAGCATTTAGCTTCTTGCTCAAATTACAGTGTCTCACACATCACAGCATTTAACTTCTTGCTCAAATGACAGTTTATCAAATATTTCATATTCATTTTTTAAAATCTGCATTGCTATAATTGATATAACCATGTATTTTCCAATTTAATTTTCTACTTAAATGAACAATGTTCCAGCTCCATTCTGAACCACTGAAGTTAGCACTAATTAAACACACTTCACTAATTAAAAATTAAACACACTTCACTAATTAAACACAGTTCACTAATTAAACACAGTTCACTAATTAAACACAGTTCACTAATTAAACACAGTTCACTAATTAAACACAGTTCACTAATTAAACATGCTTCATTAATTAAATACACTTCACTAATTAAACATATTTCACTAATTAAACACACTTCACTAATTAAACACAAAGATGAAAATCAGGTAATACATTACAAAATCAAACTAAACAGCAGTGTACCAGATTTCCTGAGGTTATTTAGCCCCCATATATATGTATGTATAACCATACTCAAATTACTTAGCAAATCATTTTTACTAAGTTTTAAAAAAAATATTATAGCATAAATCAAATTTATTAACTTATTTTGAACTTTCATAAGCCTCAAGAGGACCTGGAAGAACAGCTCAGTGCTGTTCAGGAACAGCTTGAAGAAGCAAAGCAAAAGCAAGAAATGTCAGATAAAAAGATCAGCAGATTAGAAGAGGCCTTAGAGATCAAAGAAGAGGAAATTTCAACACTTCGTGAGTATTTGTGATATGCACCTCATGAGTACTTGAGATATGCACTTTGTGAGTACTTGAGATATGCACTTCATGAGTACTTGAGATATCCACTTCATAAGTACTTGAGAAATGCACTTTGTGAGTACTTGAGATATCCATTTCATAAGTACTTGAGAAATGCTCTTTGTTAGTACTTAAAATATGCACTTCTTGAGTACTTGTGATATGCTTACCGCAGATTATTAAAATTATTAAATATTTTTTAGATTTTATTTACAGCACACATATGTCTCTGCCATCTGTCGGTTACAATGTGCCGATTTGATAGACTTGGCGGGAAGAAATCACAAGGCCTGGGTTTTTTTTCTTTAGGATGATAAGCTGGTTTCCCTAGACAGCAAATCGCCTCTTTCCACAAACCTGGATAACCCAAGGGAATATCATGTGGATGATACAGCATGGCACCAGTAGCGTCGCAGCAGTTGCTGCAATTTTCATTGTGTAAATGTTATCCGCCTATGGGACTCCATCTCTGGGTTAGAATTCTGAGTTTTCCATCTCTTAGATGAGTTGCCATCCAAGGTTAACGAGTCCCATCCACCACGGGTGCTGGTCTTAGATGAGTTGCCGTCCAAGGTTAACAAGTCCCATCCACCCCAGGTGCTGGTCTTAGATGAGTTGCCATCCAAGGTTAACAAGTCCCATCCACCCGGGGTGCTGGTCTTAGATGAGTTGCCATCCAAGGTTAACAAGTCCCATCCGTCCGGGGTGCTGGTCTTAGATGAGTTGCCATCCAAGGTTAACAAGTCCCATCCACCCCAGGTGCTGGTCTTAGATGAGTTGCCATCCAAGGTTAACAAGTCCCATCCACCCGGGGTGCTGGGGAAGTTTTTGTTTCTCTAGGCTTTGGTGGGGATTAAACTCGAGATCCAGCTTTTTGATTTGACCCAGTACAGACCGCTCAGCCACCCAGTACAGACCGCTCGGCCACCCAGTACAGACCGCTCAGCCACCCAGCACAGACCGCTCAGCCACCCAGCACAGACCACTCAGCCACCCAGCACAGACCGCTCAGCCACCCAGCACAGACCGCTCAGCCACCCAGCACAGACCGCCCAGCCACCCAGCACAGACCGCTCGGCCACCCAGCACAGACCGCTCGGCCACCCAGCACAGACCGCTCGGCCACCCAGCACAGACCGCTCGGCCACCCAGCACAGACCGCTCAGCCACCCAGCACAGACCGCTCAGCCACCCAGTACAGACCGCTCAGCCACCCAGTACAGACCGCTCAGCCACCCAGTACAGACCGCTCAGCCACCCAGTACAGACCGCTCAGCCACCCAGTACAGACCGCTCAGCCACCCAGTACAGACCGCTCAGCCACCCAGTACAGACCGCTCGGCCACCCAGCACATATTACTTATTCAAATAATAGTAACGATTAAAATGATGTTTGTGCAGCCTTAAAAGAATCTCACTTTGTTCAATATATTGTAGGCCTACATACAACTAAAAGTCTTAAAATCTTTCTGGTCATTCATCAGATACAGATCTTGATTTTCTTAAAGAGCAATTGGAAAGAAGTAACATCATGGTAGAACAGGTAAATTTGATTATATTTAGTATTCCTATGGTATTGTAACTAATTTTTGTTTATCTTCTCCACTAGAATGGTGGGTGTGTCCATTCTATTGGCCCTTTGATGGGGATGACCCCGGGCGAATTTAAACTTACTTTTAGATATGACTATGTAATAGATGCACTATCATAGTGCTCCAGGAATGTAGACCTAACATGATCATGACAACAGTCTTATTCTTATTTTGAAATATTGATTTTAAAAAAAGTTTTTTTAAAATAAATGAATGTTTCCAAATAATTATTATGATAAGATTTTTAATTTAATGGGCTCCGTGTGTCACATAATGAAAATCAACTACTAAATTTTACACTTATATGCATTCCGTAAAGATGATTTTAAATTATTTTTGTGCTTTTTTATCCTTGCTTTTTTTTAGAGTATAAATTATGTAGGGCCACTGGAAGGTAGTGTGGAATGGGTGGGGGATGGTGGCGAGAGGTAGGGAGTAGGAGGGGAGCAGTGTTAGGGGGTTGGAAGAATTGGGTTGCTGAGGCATTTACCTAGGAAGTGGATTGAAGACTGTGGAGATGGTAGGTGGTAGTTGCATGAGAAAATGGTAGGTGATAGGTGGATGTGGAGATGGTAGGTGGTAGTTGCCTGAGAAAAGGGTAGGTGATAGGTGGTTGTGGAGATGGTAGGTGGTAGTTGCCTGAGAAAAGGGTAGGTGATAGGTGGTTGTGGAGATGGTAGGTGGTAGTTGCCTGAGAAAAGGGTAGGTGACAGGTGGTTGTGGAGATGGTAGGTGGTAGTTGCCTGAGAAAAGGGTAGGTGATAGGTGGTTGTGGAGATGGTAGGTGGTAGTTGTCTGAGAAAAGGGTAGGTGATAGGTGGTTGTGGAGATGGTAGGTGGTAGTTGCCTGAGAAAAGGGTAGGTGATAGGTGGTTGTGGAGATGGTAGGTGGTAGTTGCCTGAGAAAAGGGTAGGTGATAGGTGGTTGTGGAGATGGTAGGTGGTAGTTGACTGTGGAAATGGTGGGTGATAGGTGGTTGTGGAGATGGTACGTGATAGTTGGGTGGGGATGAAGATGGGGAGAACCATCAAAAAGGCTGAATGCCTGTTTTTGGGTCAAGTCAAACATAAAAGACCAATAACAAATTGTCCATAGTTTAATCTGTCCATTTATACTTAGTTCGTATAAACGCATGGGTTGTGACTCCCTTTGTTTTCAATGGGTTTGTCGACTGAAACAATAAACTAAAAAATATCAATTTTTAAGCGCTATTCATATTTAATAGGTTTTTTAAAGTTTGAATGACAGTTTAAATCATCACATAATTTATGTCATTAACTGGTTAACTACCATAAGCCACTGGGAGCGGCAGGGCATGTCTTTTTTTATGGCCACGAGCCGCTGGTAGTGCCAACGTTAGTATCATAGTCAACATGACCTAGATTTAATTCAGCCTCAGCCAGTTTTTCAATCTCATAGCTAATCAGTTAAAATTATATTTTACTTCATAACATTTTATTTAGGTGATGCTTTTGTCATTTAACTAATTAACCATTTCACCAAAATTATTTGTTGAAACTTAGATGAGGCATGAGCAAATGGAGATGGCAAATGAAGCTTCCAGAGAAAAAGAAACTTCTAGAAAGATGGTTAGTCACAAATTATAAGTGTTTGTGAGATAGATGTACCATATATATCTTTATTTTAATGCAAAATATTTTTTGTGAGAGATTTAATTTTTACAAAATATTTTTAAAAATTTCTTTTTTTTTCTATAAGCTTGGGCAGCAGAAGGATGAAATGAAAAGACTGATGGATGAACAAATTCGCTTGGCCAGAGAAGAGGTAGGGATCAGATGAACCGTTTTAAAAATCATTGACTTAAAACTGTTTTTAGATTAAAAATACAGTTAAAAAGGAAAAAACTTATTTTATCTCATGTTAATTAAGTTACACCACTTTTTCTTCTTGAAAAGGCCATGGTGAAAATGAAAGAAGAATCTTCTAAAACACAGAGTGGAGATCAAACAAAGCTCAAACAATTACAAGAAAAAATTGCTAATCTTGAATCTCAATTAACAAAGGTGAAAAAATGATGAGTTCCTATTTATTTAATATTGTAATTAATGAATTATATTGACTTATTTATGTGTCGTAGCAGAGATTGATACCTTCATCCTGGTGCAACAATCTTACATTAATGCAAATCTACCACCATTAAAGCATTTTCAAGATTGCTATTTAGTAATACTATAAAAGAGAAGATCTTAGTCTTAGAGAAAAAGTTTTAGAAGTAGTCATAAAATTTAACTCTTACTTTGAAATCATAAAATGAAAAAAAAATTGTATTTTAAACATATTCATTAAATTCAAGGAAAAAGACAAAAACAATTCTTTGAATAGCAAGTCTGTAGACACAAAAGCTGTAAAAGAAATGGAAGAGAAACTGAGATCTGAAATACTCAGGTAATTTAGATTACTAGCAGATAATGATGGTCATTACTTTAGATACCTGGTAGATATATATCTATTTGTTTAATGTCCCCCAAAGCTAGGCATGATTTTGTAACACTTGAGAAATGGTTTAAATTTAAAATATTTTAGCATCATTAACAAACTTGAATTGCTTGGAAGATAATTACTAGTTCAGTATGTGCCCATCCATATAAAACAATTATTAGATAATGTCTTAATAAATTTGCTGTAATTACATTATTGTTTTTATTAAATTTTATTTATCTTTTTTGGTTCATGGCTGATTTTTTTAGGCAGTGTCTACACATCGGGTAACTGGACAAATAGTGCGGGGGATATTCTTCCAGCGGGCATATCACGTGACCACCGGACGACTTGTGGGTGTTATTATTCCGGCAGACACGTCATGTGTCCAGAGGTCACCGGCAAAATAGTTGCATTGCATAAGATATACCAATATTGTGTATATATGTTAGTCAGCCGATCCCTAGATAATAAATAAATACCGAATATGTTAAAATTTTCAAATGCTCTGAGATACATAAAGTGTATCATAAGCTTTTGACTTTGAATTAAAAATATTATAATACAAGTAGTCTATTTGAATCTGACTCATCAAAAAAAACAAAACAAAGTCCGATGTCTTGGTTTAAATATCTTATAAAGCTCTACCTAGTAGCCTAAATTTAAAATATGAATGTTATATAGAGCTTGTTTACATAATTTTTCTCGTGCGTGCCCTCTGATTGACCCCGCATGAGACGCTGTGTTCACAGGGGGGTGTGGCTTAGTCGTTTGATCTGTCGTGTTTATGCCGCCAGCCACTAAAAATAATTAATCTGTTCTAAATAGTATTTTGTAGAATGATTGTGATTGTTCTAGAAATGCTGGATAGCTTCTTGAAGGCAGGGCTTGGGCGTCGGTAGACCCACCTATATAAGAAATTGACAGGCACGTACGGAGAGACGGAGATTCAGATAGCTTTTATTAACTTCACGAGACGTGTATTATTCTTTGTGTTCTTATATATGTGTTTATTTTCGCATTTCATCATTATTCATTGGCACATTATTCTAACTGTATTAACTGTGTACCGGTACGAGATCTACCATACTGTAAGTTGAAGATTGTAATTATATTTTCTTTACTTTTGTAATTATCTTAAGAATTAATAAATCTTATTAATTGTAACTAGAAACTGTTTTGGGTGTCGTATCTTTAATATTGTTGATTCTATGGTATCGTCCTTTGTTAGGCACTGTTTACAACGAGCCAAATTAAAATTAAAATAGGAGATTAATTTCTCCCAATACAAGTCAGTGCGTAACAATGAACCAAACAAAATAAGACCCAGTTGGCTTTCAATAGATCTACTGTCAAAAAAGTTTTATTTAGGGCCATTAATATTGGGTGAGAAGTAGGCTACCCTAACAGCACACTATATTGGCCCTATATTAAGATATAGGGTCTATTTCTTTATGAACTATCGACCTCACCGCTTTAATTATTTATCACCCTCACTATCATTTTTATCCTTTCTCTCTCAGTATTTCTTCCTTTTATTATCCTTCCCCCTCCCCCCCCCCCCCATTTTTTCTTTTTTTTTTCTTTCCCCCCCCCCCCCCCCTGATTTGTTGAAATGAAGTAAACCCGTTGCACACATGCATCTCCGATGCCATTTTTTTTATTCTGATCGATTATTAGCGGTCACGTGATAAGTCTGACGGACAAATATCTCTCCCAATTTTGTTACAGCAGTCATGTGACTTTGTCGCCGGACGAATATATGGAGAATTTATTCGTTCGGTCGCCGGACGTGCAGACACTTTGTTCTGTTTTTTTCCTAGCAGCCACTTAACATTTCTTATAATTTGTAATCTTCATTCTTCTTTTAATACTGTTAGACTCCAAGGAGAACTGGAAAAGACACATCATATGTGGGAAAAGAAATTTGCTATTCTCCAACAAAGGTAGAAATCAATTCTGCTATTATTTTGTCAAGATTCTTAGATATTTTTTCTCATCAATTCCTTTTCTAGATAAGACTTTGCCTTGTTCAATCAGATAAAAAGAGTTGTAGGTATCAAAAAGAAAAAATTAAAATTGTCTTATTTATTTAACGTAACAAGGTTTGAAAAATGAGATAATTAGTTGTAAAGTATTATTTACAAATAAGTCCTCTTATCTGAAAAATTCAATTTGTAATTGAAATAACTTGACAGCCGTTTACTATTTTTATTTTCTCTCTATCTTGATATCAGCATGCATGCCTTAAAGGATGAAAGTTACTTGAGACAGACCCTTCAGAGACAGGCAGCCCAACTACACCATGCTGCTGTCAGTTATTCTGTAAGAAATCCCTCAACCCTTACTGGCATTATGGTCTGTTAACACTTACTCTAATCTCTAATGTTCATATCACCGCCACAAAACTGATTTTTTTCCTTCGCCAGTACGATGTAAATTTCTGGGATTTATAATGACTGAGACCGTGAAACCAAGGTTTGATATAAATAGCTTTTCATATCACATTAATTTACATATTTGCATCATTCAAAGTTGCATTGGGTAGTTCCTAGATTGCATTGCTGTGTCTACACTGTTAAATGATTACATTAGCGAAAAGTTTTTACACATTTTTGTAACCTTGTTTTAAGCTTGCTTGGAGATCTTGTATCATATAAATTAAAAAGACCTGAATACATGAAGTTTGCAATAAACTCTGCAAATCTGCAAACCTTCTAATGCTTCATTTGGCTTTTGACAAGAGTGGGTTTTCGAATGGTATGCACATGTCAAGGGCATTACAGAGTCTTTTTAAGACGACAAACTTTCAGGGAGATCAGAGATCACAAGAAAAAGTTGAGAAACTTAATCAACTGGACCCCTGTAATACAATGCAGAATCTTTGTCATATGACTGGAGTCAGTTATGGAGTCTGCCAAAAGATCCTAACAGAAGACACACAAAAAGATGAATTGCTACCAAGTTTGTTCCATGACTTTTGATACTGTATCAGAAGCAGAAGTGTGATGTGTGCCATGATCTTTGCGAGTTGATGAACAACCCAACATTCATCTCTAAGATCATTGCAAGGGATGTAACTTGGCCTGGACCTTTTTCCTTATTTCCCAAACGAGGGAGATGATGAACGTTGGCCTAGCCCCTTGTAACTTTGCATTGATTCTCAAACGAGGGAGATGATGAACGTTGGCCTAGCCCCTTGTAACTTTGCATTGATTCTCAAATGAAATTTAAGTTAAATAATCCCTGCTCCAACTCAGAAGAAGAAATTCTAAGGAATTCAAAGATGTCATTGAACATGATGTTTTTTTTTAAAAGACTTGATGGTGCCTCTGAAGTAGGGAAGATGTACTGGGATCAGTTTGAGGCAATGTGCCTCTGAAGTAGGGAAGATGTACTGGGATCAGTTTGAGGCAATGTGCCTCTGAAGTAGGGAAGATGTACTGGGATCAGTTTGAGGCAATGTGCCTCTGAAGTAGTGAAGATGTACTGGGATCAGTTTGAGGCAATGTGCCTCTGAAGTAGGGAAGATGTACTGGGATCAGTTTGAGGCAATGTGCCTCTGAAGTAGGGAAGATGTACAGGGATCAACTTGAGGCAATGTGCCTCTGAAGTAGTGAAGATGTACTGGGATCAGTTTGAGGCAATGTGCCTCTGAAGTAGGGAAGATGTACTGGGATCAGTTTGAGGCAATGTGCCTCTGAAGTAGTGAAGATGTACTTGAATCAGTTTGAGGCAATGTGCCTCTGAAGTAGGGAAGATGTACTGGGATCAGTTTGAGGTACAGTGCCTCTGAAGTAGTGAAGATGTACTGGGATCAGTTTGAGGCAATGTGCCTCTGAAGTAGGGAAGATGTACTGGGATCAGTTTGAGGCAATGTGCCTCTGAAGTAGGGAAGATGTACAGGGATCAGTTTGAGGCAACTCCAGCCAAAATTAATCAAAGGCAAGTCTACATTTTTGCTTACCCTTTGTCTCTGATCATTCTAATACCACCACATTTACTCTATTAAAATATTCTGAATGTTAAAACAGAGATACATTAAATTTTGTAGTTTCATTTTTATTATATTTCCCTAATGCAGGTTGACATGCCATCTGGTGTATCACCAGTAAAAGAACATTCACCCCCTTTGAAGAAACCTTTGGTACGATCAGTCAACTTTTTATGTAATACATTTTGTATGTATCAGTTATTTTTAACATATTTCTTTACAAACATTTATACATCTTTAAATGATTAAGTTTGTCTTTTTTTAATTTTTACAATTGTCACACATTTGACAGTTTTATGTCATGCAATTGACAGTTTTCTGTCACGCATTTGACAGTTTTATGTCACGCAATTGACAGGTTTGCTTTACAACAACTTTGTTCCCTTTTATTTAAAAAAAAAAAGCCTGATATAGGAAAAAGGAATAAACGAGGTGGTTCTCAAAGTCAGGAGAAAGACTGCATATCTTACACAGTATCTGCGCCTAGTGGTCGGGGTACAGCCATGTTTTCTACTGATGGTAAGTTCTGGCTGGATAATGTAATCTATTGAGAGTTGAAATCTGTAGCAGGCATAATCAACAAATATAACACTTCTCTGGAAAGAAAATTGAGGGAACAGAAATATTATGCATCCCATTAATTGGATTACTTATGCTGTGACCTTAAAGTTCACTTAAACTCTTTGAAATGAAAATATTGGAACTGGGACTTTTCAAAAGAATCAAATTTCATTGGTTTGCTTGACTTGCAGAAGACCAGATAATGTCAGAAAATGATTTGGGTTTGATTCCTGCAGATGTTCTACTGCTCCCTGAACCACTTTTGAGGTGAACATTCAAGTCTAAGTTTTTAATCTGCTTTAAATATTGAGATCATAAAAATAATTATACTTTTTTTATAATGGCAAACAATATTCTGAAACACTTAAGTTAGTTTTACACTCAATCTAAATGAACTTCTGTATCAACCAATTTTTGTGCTTTTAGTTTTTATATGTCAGTTTTTATACTCAACCCAAGTGAATTTATGTTTTATACATTTTTTCACTTATAGAAATACTCAAGATTGTGGTGACGAAAGTAGACCGTCCACTCAGCCTCATATCGTAGTCTTACCAAGTATTGAGGCTAAATAACGGCCCTCGCAAATAAACCTTGAATAAATAGTTTCAGTTCTGTTTATTTATATATTTTTTATAGATGAGTAAGAAATGTAATTATTGATGCAACTGAGGTTGTTATGGAAATGGAGGGTGATGACGCTTTATTTAAGAATTTTATCATTTAAAGGAAGTTCATAGTTCATGTGTAACCTTATTTCAAAATCTCTTAAAGTCATTTAAAAAGGGCCACCATTCTATGGATGAGATACTGTGCATATTGATGTTTAATTTATTGTAATATTTACTTTCTGTTAATAAATGCAATAATGAAAACTAAATTTCATACTCTGTTGTGGTCTGCTGAGTTGATCCTTGAAAATTTTTGATTATATAAAGCTTAAAACTGGTAGAGCATGCATTCATTGCCATTAGGATTTTAAATTCTAATGTACAAGAAATAAGAATAAATTAATTTGTTCTTTTAAAGATTATTTTGTACCCTTTAAAAAAATGTAATTAATTGTTGAGGAGTCAGATCTGACACTAAGACTTTAAACCAGCTTCGCTAATTATGTCACTATTGTCACTAACTTCTTCATTGCTCAATTATTCTAAAAGCCATAGGCTTTTCAAGTGATACTCTTTGTTCATGTCTAATTAAGACACTTAGCGGTACTGTGAATCACATCATTCAAGAATATGGAGCGCGGTTGTTTGATTTAGTCAAGAAAAGACGACCCCATTAAACAAAACACATTCTGCCAAAAAAAACAATAGACAGAAAATTCTTAGTTTAAATCCTTAAAATACTCAGGATTCAGCTAAATTAGCTCTTCCTTTACTATACTCACTGCCTCAGTATGACTATTTGATCAGCTAAATAAGCTCTTCCTACAATTGCAATGCTCTCATGGTGGGTCTTCCAGCTACGCTCCTGGATAAAATTCAAATAGCACAGAATAATGCGGCTCGCATAGTTCTCCGCAAACGCAAATTCGACCATGCAAAAACACTTCTGAGAGAGTTGCATTGGCTGCCGGTGCGTGCTCGCATAGAGTACAAAATCGCAACTTTGTGCTACCGCTGCTTACATGACCTGGCGCCGTCCTATCTGAAAGAGCTGCTGACGCCTTATGTACCCAGTAGAGAGCTCCGCTCATCCGATAGTGGCAAACTCTCGAAAGCACACTTTCGCATTTGCTGGTACAACAATTTGGAACGCCCTTCCTGTCGATCTTAGAAACAACCAGACACTGGAGTCCTTTAAAACCGATCTAAAGACACATCTATTTCGCAAATACCTTCTGGGATGATTGTCTACCTTATTTTCTATGTGTTGCTGTGTTGCTCCAGGTTGAAATGGCTAGAAAGACTTTGATATTGTATGCTTGTAATTAGTTTTTGTAGTGTAGCGTTTGTTTTAAATGTGGTGAATTATAGATATGTTTTTTGTTGACTTTGTACCGCGCTTTGAGCCTTTGGGGATGAAGCGTGTTTTTGAAATGAACTTTATTATTATTATACTCACTGCCTCAGTATGACTATTTGATCAGCTAAATTAGCTCTTCCTTCACTATACTCACTGCCTCAGTATGACTATTTGATCAGCTAAATTAGCTCTTCCTTCACTATACTCACTGCCTCAGTATGACTATTTGATCAGCTAAATTAGCTCTTCCTTCACTATACTCACTGCCTCAGTATGACTATTTGATCAGCTAAATTAGCTCTTCCTTCACTATACTCACTGCCTCAGTATGACTATTTGATCAGCTAAATTAACTCTTCCTTCACTATACTCACTGCCTCAGTATGATGACTATTTGATCAGCTAAATTAGCTCTTCCTTCACTATACTCACTGCCTCAGTATGACGATTTGATCAGCTAAATAAGCTGTACCTTCAATATACTCACTGCCTCAGTATGATGACTATTTGATCAGCTAAATTAGCTCTTCCTTCACTATACTCACTGCCTCAGTATGACGATTTGATCAGCTAAATTAGCTCTTCCTTCACTATACTCACTGCCTCAGTATGACTATTTGATCAGCTATATTAGCTCTTCCTTCACTATACTCACTGTCTCAGTATGACGATTTGATCAGCTAAATAAGCTGTACCTTCACTATACTCACTGCCTCAGTATGATGACTATTTGATCATCTAAATTAGCTCTTCCTTCACTATACTCACTGCCTCAGTATGACTATTTGATCAGCTAAATTAGCTCTTCCTTCACTATACTCACTGCCTCAGTATGACTATTTGATCAGCTAAATTAGCTCTTCCTTCACTATACTCACTGCCTCAGTATGACTATTTGATCAGCTAAATTAACTCTTCCTTCACTATACTCACTGCCTCAGTATGATGACTATTTGATCAGCTAAATTAGCTCTTCCTTCACTATACTCACTGCCTCAGTATGACGATTTGATCAGCTAAATAAGCTGTACCTTCAATATACTCACTGCCTCAGTATGATGACTATTTGATCAGCTAAATTAGCTCTTCCTTCACTATACTCACTGCCTCAGTATGACTATTTGATCAGCTAAATTAGCTCTTCCTTCACTATACTCACTGCCTCAGTATGACTATTTGATCAGCTAAATTAGCTCTTCCTTCACTATACTCACTGCCTCAGTATGACTATTTGATCATCTAAATTAGCTCTTCCTTCACTATACTCACTGCCTCAATGTGACTATTTGATCAGCTAAATTAGCTCTTCCTTCACTATACTCACTGCCTCAGTATGACTATTTGATCAGCTAAATTAGCTCTTCCTTCACTATACTCACTGCCTCAGTATGATGATTTGATCAGCTAAACAAGCTCTTCCTTCACTATATTCACTGCCTCCGCATGATGATTTGATCAGCTAAACAAGCTCTTCCTTCACTATATTCACTGCCTCCGCATGACGATTTGATCAGCTAAACAAGCTCTTCCTTCACTATAGTCACTGCCTCAGTATGATGACTATTTGATAATGGGGGTACCCCCCATTTGACATTTCAACACCAAGTTGATCCTCAAATGGCACATAGATACATTTAAAATGATGGCTATTTACTTTCATTTATATTTTTTCCCAGCTTTCTCTTCAGGTTTGCAACATCTGATATTGCTGTGTTCATAGCTGGGTTCAATTTGATGCTTAAGGGCCCATCCATAAATGACTTCACGAGTTTAGAAAGGAGGGGGGTCACATTTTTATGATGATGTGTGGACAGGGGAGCGTGGGTGTTAAAACAATGTGACCTCAGATTAAAAGTGGAACATTCTTGTGAAGAAATTTCACTTCATGATCCAAAAATGCAGACACTTTTCACATTATTCTATAATACAACAATTATAATTATTTTATTTTTAAACTACGATCCCCCCAGAGAATCAGTACAGGTAAGCGAGGTCCCAGTTATGGCATCTGATCAAGTTTAAGTCCGCCATGTAGGAGGGGACTCAGGGTTTGTTTACATTGACAGTCGAGAGAATTTATGTCGAAATGTGGAGACGGGAATCATAGAATCAGGGCTACCACAGGAAGTGAGATTGAACGAAAAATGTTGTACTAAAAGGGGGGGGGGGGGTGATTTTAGTACATGTAAAAGACCAAGGATTCTTAATCTTTTCACAAATCTGCATCTTTCTTAAATTGTAAACATTGCCCCCCCCCCCCGTATAAATTAAATAGTGATCAAATTATTTGAATAATGTATTTAAGGTTGTTTTATTGAATCAATCAATTTCTAGATTCAATGGAGAGACAAATTAATTCACAGACAAAGTGACAAATACAATTAATTCACTGACAGAATGACTCATACAATTGATTCACTGACAGAATGACCCATACAAATAATTCACAGACAAAATGACCCATACAATTAATTCACTGACAAAATGACCCATACAATTTATTCACTGACAGAATGACCCATACAAATAATTCACAGACAAAATGACCCATACAAATAATTGACAGACAAAATGACCCATACAAATAATTCACAGACAAAATGACCCATACAATTAATTCACTGACAGAATGACCCATACAAATAATTCACTGACAGAATGACCCATACAATTAATTCACAAACAAAGTGACCCATACAATTAATTCACAGACAAAATGACCCATACAATTAATTCACTGACAAAATGACCCATACAATTAATTCACTGACAGAATGACCCATACAAATAATTCACAGATAAAATGACCCATACAAATAATTCACAGACAAAATGACCCATACAAATAATTCACAGACAAAATGACCCATACAAATAATTCACAGACAAAATGACCCATACAATTAATTCACTGACAAAATGACCCATACAATTAATTCACTGACAGAATGACCCATACAAATAATTCACAGATAAAATGACCCATACAAATAATTCACAGACAAAATGACCCATACAAATAATTCACAGACAAAATGACCCATACAAATAATTCACAGACAAAATGACCCATACAAATAATTCAGACAAAATGACCCAGACAATTAATTCACTGACAGATGACCCATACAAATAATTCACTGACAGAATGACCCATACAATTAATTCACAGACAAAGTGACCCATACAATTAATTCACAGACAAAATGACCCATACAATTAATTCACAGACAAAATGACCCATACAATTAATTCACTGACAGAATGACCCATACAACAGACCTGTTTACTCTCAAACTCTTAATATCGTACAATATCATCACATAATTGTTCAGTACCTTATATTTATAGTAAAAAATAAACATACAGTATATATAATGTTTTATACCTCAAAATCGTACATTGTACGCCAAAATGGTAAGAGTAAACAGGTCTGATACAATTAATTCACTGACAAAATGACCCATACAAATAATTGACAGACAAAATGACCCATACAATTAATTCACAGACAAAATGACCCATACAATTAATTCACTGACAAAATGACCCATACAATTAATTCACTGACAGAATGACCCATACAAATAATTCACAGATAAAATGACCCATACAAATAATTCACAGACAAAATGACCCATACAAATAATTCACAGACAAAATGACCCATACAAATAATTGACAGACAAAATGACCCATACAATTAATTCACAGACAAAATGACCCATACAATTAATTCACTGACAAAATGACCCATACAATTAATTCACTGACAGAATGACCCATACAAATAATTCACAGATAAAATGACCCATACAAATAATTCACAGACAAAATGACCCATACAAATAATTCACAGACAAAATGACCCATACAAATAATT